TGGAATTGGACCGAGCCCAATTTATTCTTCTTTTTCGCAAGATGGATTAAAGCCAATACTCTTTTCCTCCAAAAAACATGGACCGGGCAAGAGCCCAAACTTCTTTTTGTAGGGTAAAACTTTGTCAAAAGCCAGAAAAAGGGAGATCTCCTCTCTTTCCCTTCTCGGAAGCCAGCAGCCAGGGGCAATTTCACTTTTTCTCCCCAAATTCATCTCTTCTTCTCCAACACAAAACAGAAACCCCCACTTTCTCTTATTCTTCTATCTCACTCGACAACCACGCACAAAACTCAAATCTCCCTTTCACTGCCACCTCCGCCAGACCAGCCACTGCGTGTCGCCGTCCAAGTCGTCGCCGACTCAGCCGCCCACCGTCGAGCCCATCGTCGGTCGTCGCTCCAAGCTTCCCTTCTCCTCTTCGCGCGCGGGAAGTTCTCGCCTTGCACCCTGCAACCGCCACTACCTCCACCGAAGTCGGCCTCCGCGAGCCTCCGAGGCCGTCAAGGGCCGCTCTGTAATCATTTTTCTCTTTTTGACGTCAAAGATGTACATAGAAAATGAGCCCCATTGCCATGTCTAATAGGAATGTAATGCAAATGTCAATTGGAGTAGTTCGTGCGAAAGAGTGTTAATGGCCGTCGCAACCCAGAAACTCAAAATCTCTTCTATTTTCTCTGTAATCGCCAAACTCTCATATTCGATATCACCCCATAACAATCTTCATTATGATTCTTCTGTGGCCGACAACCTCGTCTCCGTCTTCACCCAACAACCCAACGCCGTGGGGCCCGAACTCAACCTCTTCGCTCCCATCCTCACGCCTCCCCTTGTCGAGTCCGTTCTCACGCGCCTCCCCACTTGGAAACTCGCCCTCTCCTTCTTCCATTGGGCCTCCGATCAACACCAGTATGGCTACCGCCATAATTGTTACACCTACAATACCATCGCCTCTATCTTCTCCCGCTCCCGCCAAACCACCCATCTCAAAACGGTCGTCAAACACCTCGTGGAGTCCGCTCCTTGTTCCTTCACGCCCGGTGCCTTGGGCTTCCTCATTCGGTGTTTGGGCGAAGTGGGCCTTGCGCAGGAGGCCCACCACCTGTTCGATGAAATGCGGGTGAAGGGTCTTTGCGTTCCCAATGTTTACTGCTACAACTGCTTGTTGGAGGCTCTGTCCAAGGCCGGGGAGGTTGATTTGGTGGAGGCTAGGTTGGAGGAGATGAAGGGGTTTGGATGGGAATTTGATAAGTTCACGCTGACGCCTGTCGTGCAAGCTGATTGCAAAGCTCACAGGTTGATCAGCTCTGAGGGTTTATGATGGATGAAGGAAAAGGGTTTGATTGATGCGCGTGTTTGCTCTATGCTGGCATTGTCGTTTTCCAATGGGGGGATGTGGATAAAGCGTTTGAGTTGGTGGAGAGGATGGATGGACAGGGGGTGAGGCTAAGTGAGAAGACTTTCTGTGTTTTGATTCATGGGTTTGTCAAGGAGGATTGATAGGCCCTTCAGTTGTTTGAGAAAATGTGTCGGGTTGGCTTCACTCCTCCTGTTTCATTATTTGATGTTCTCATTGGAGGACTGTGTAAGAGTAATGATGCTCAGAGCTTGAGCTTGCTTTCGGAGATGAAGCAGTTTGGGGTTGCCCCTGAGTTTGGAATCTTTACGAAGTTGATATCGGCTTTTCCAGACAGAAGTGTGATTACCAAGTTGCTGGAAGAGGTTCTGGAAGATAAAGATGAAAAAATTATCGTTTTGATTTACAATGCTGTTTTGACTTGTTATGTTAATGAGGGACAAGTGGATGAAGCCTGCCGCCTTCTTCAGATGATGATTCAGAGCAAATTCAGTGATGTCCAGATGGATGATTTCTTCAAGGACAAGAGATTGGTTTTCCCAAATGCTGCTTCCTTTAGCATCGTGATTGATGGCTTACTCACAAATGGTCAGTTGGACCTCGCTCTAAGTCTTTTCAATGACCTTAAACAATTTGTTGTAGGCCAAGCGTTTTGATTTACAACAATCTGATCAATGGTCTCTGCGATTCTAATAGATTGGACGAGAGCCGTGAGCTGTTGAGAGACATGAAAGAATCAGAATTGAACCAACTCATTTCACTTACAACTCAATTTATGGATGCCTGTGTAAAAGAAAGGATGTCGTAGGAGCGATCGATATGTTGAAAGTGATGCGTGCTTGTGGGCATAACCGTGGATAAAAAATTCCACCCTTCTTGTGAAAAACTGTGTGATCGTGGCCGGGCGGTAGAAGCATGCGATTTTCTTGACAGCATGGTTCACTAGGTTTCCTTCCTGACATAGTTTTCCTATTCTGCAGCAATGGGGGGTTTGATCAAGATTCAAGAAGTGGACAGAGCATTGAACTTGCTCAGGGATTTGTGTTCTCGTGGCCATTGTCCTGATGTGGTGGCTTTTAACATAGTGATCAGAGGGCTCTGCAAGGTCAACCGAGTTGCAGAAGCTGAAAAATTGTTGGATGAGATTGTTGTGAAGGGTCTCTGTCCCTCAGTTGTGACTTACAGTCTGCTTATAGATAGTTGGTGCAAAAGTGGTTCTGTTGATAGGGCGATGTCTCTTCTTCGAAAATGTCTGAAGAAGACAGGGAGCCCAATGTCGTCACTTACTCAACTTTGGTGGATGGGTTTTGCAGAGAAAAAAGGCCTGATGATGCACTCTTGGTTTGGAAAGAGATGGAAAGAAAAGGTTGTTCTCCTAATCGAGTTGCTTTTATGGCACTTATTATGGTCTTTGCATTTGCAAGAGGCCATCTGCTGCACTCCATTATTTACGCGAGATGGAACAAAGAAATGAAGCCCGACTCGTTCATTTATATTGCATTGCTCAGTGCTTTTTCTGTCTGATATGGACTTGGCCTCTGGATTTGAGATTTTTAAGGAGATGGTTTATTCAGGATTTTTCCCAGAATCCCATGACAAAAGTTACCCCGTTGTGATGGATGCAATAGACAAATTTTCCAAGGATCACATAACATCCTCTGGTATGAAAGTTTTAAGTGAAGAGGGCAAACTTCCTACGCATTGCTTGATAAACGTCGGATTATAAAGGTTAATCAAATTGTTTATGCCACTGCCAAAGGAAGTAGATGTTACATCGGACAAGTAAAAATTGAAGCATTTGAAAAGAAACAAATGTACACAAAAAGAAACAAATGTACACAAAAAGAAACGTATGTGACTCTCAGATAATTTGCCTACAAAAAGAACTTGAGCTCCGGAATTTTCAAAGATACACGTTACTTGATTTGGATCCTAAGAGAATACAAGAGATAAAGAGACATAACAGCTGATCAAAGGAGCGCTTTGTTGTTCTTTCGGTAGTCATGCGAAATCGTTTACAATGTATTGATATTTGGTTTTCTGTTGGACAAACACAACGAGAGCTCGACATTTTTTCAGGATACACACACAGTGGCGAATTTTCTGTTATATTTTTTTTATAATACTTCATGTAAATGTGATTTTTCCCATTTCATTTTCTTCCTCTAGTTGACGTTTATTACTTTTTAATTTGAAAGTAAAAAAAATTGTCTTTTCCTTTATCTAGCAATATACAAATATATTCAACATATAAATTATTTTTTATTCTAACCATGCAAAACTGTTTCAAAATAAAAATATTTATATTAAATAAAATAAAATTAAAAAAATATTTAAGATTAAAATAAGACTTAATATTAGAGTTGTCAAACCTGGTCCGGCACACCACTTCTTTTACTGGATCTTACGGAACCTGTTGATGCAGAATAAAATCGAGTCTGATCATAGAAAAAATTCTCTTCAAGTAAAATCAGCCTACCCTATCTGTAATAGCCTTGTTTGGTGGTTGGGAAAAAGACACGTTTAATTGTAAATTCTAATGTGGCAGATAAGAGAAAGTCATATATTGCCAAATAAATAGTTCAAGTCACACACTCCCATAATCCATTTTTTGTTTGGAGAGTTCCCTTCAACTGAGTCAACTCAATCCGACTCACTTATTAGCGAACTGAAAAAAATTCAAACTCAATCGGACCCACCATGGATTGGTGGGTTAAACAGGTTGACTCACTAACTCATTTAATTATAATTTTTTTAAAATAAAAAATTACAATTTTTTTTAATTCAAATCTAAATAAACATCACACTAAATGATGTTAAACTCCAAATACAATTCAAAATAAAAATAATATCATACAATTCACATTAAAAAAATTACATTTTTTTCAAACTCAACCTAATTCAAACTTGTGATGAGTCCTGAGTTACAACTCATTTTGACACTCATTTTGAAAGCACTATTTAATATTATATCTTATTTATATATGACGGAACCTGTAAACTCGTTACACAAGAGACTACGGGTATATTTTTTATTTTTCACGAGTCATGTAAGGACCAATCAATAAACCACATATTTCACCATGGATATTCAACTGATGCTGAGCTTAAACTGGGAAATTTTGAAATTTGAGAAACTATTACATGTCTGAATTTGAAAATGGATTGGCAAAATAGATTAGATTAAATAATTTAGAGAGATTACTAGAGTCATTTTCTTGTCATTGAAGTCATGAGTTTAGCTACCGTGTTCCACGTGACAACTAGATTTTCCGATAGATTAATGTAACTCAGAAGAAAAAGATATACTAGAGTTGTAGAAGTATTCTAACTATGTTTTGTTAAAATTTGATTGATTTGTTGGATTAATTTATATAACATTTAAAACACATTTTCTTAGAATTTGATTGATTTGCTGAACTGATTTAGAGTATTTAAAACACTTTAATCTTCCATCATCACCACGTAGTGTCGTTTTAAAAATCAATACACGTAGTGTAATTTTAAGTTATATAAACACGTGCTTCCCTCTTCATTGCGATAGTAGTGTATAACTCCAGTGTTCGGAATCCCCTCATATTTGCATTCTCCGAAATTGAGATATAGTAGAGAAAAACATCCACAATAATCATGAGAGTTATCCTATAAAAAACTGGCCAATTTAACGCCATTCATTCCATTAAAAAAAGTCAATCTAGACTCTAGAGAGCTGGTTCCAAAAGTTACATGTTACATTTAAAACGAAGGAGCTGGAAATAAAGACTATCTCCCCCAACATGGCAATGCTATTAAAATAAGGGAATATTAGGCCCCAACTTGCACAACTTTTCTTCAATTTTAAGTGGAGAACATGTATCAAATCTCCTCCTACAAGTTGCTCCCAGAAGCAGATACCTCGGTACTACAGACTGGGCAAACCTGCCGACAAAGAGCCAAGGAATTTGATAAAAACAATGGAATAATTTATGAATTGTTGATACGTTACAATTAGGTCTTGCGAATGAAACTTAAACCTCTAGAGAACTAAAACAGTTATCGTGAAATAAGTAATAATAAATATGCCCTGAAGAATGAGGTGGATCAATTATTATTCAAGCTTCAACTCCACACCAGCTTAAATGGTCTTAGCTGATTTGTTCTAAGTTTAATTTGGCTTGTGGCCCAGTTATTTTCTTTCTAAAAGCTTCCTCCAAGTTCGGATAGTGACAAAATGGTTTTAATCGATGAGTGCATAAAACCTTAGAAGGGATATATGATATATCAATGTCAGCTAATGCCAGTGAAATATTTAAAACTCCACACTTTCTTAAAAAAGTCAAGGAAATGTCTAATACAAGCTATAAAACTTAAGATATAGAGCTGTGAAACATGGGAATAGAATCATAGAAGACTGTTGGTTTACAGCTAGAAATAGTGAATAGAAAAATCAAGATTATAGAAATAATCAGATGTAAAATTGGGTCTGTGAAGGCTGTTAAAACATGTAAATGTATGTGCAATAAGGAGAATCTAGGTTGTAATGGATTGGTAAAAAATTACGACAATAACATATGTACTGTGCAATCCATGCTCAATTCCAGGTATTTAAAGCAGAAAAGGACCAAAAACCACATAAGAGTATCTATGCACCCTATAATTCTCTTAGGATTAGGGCACAAACGAATTATCCAACCAAAGGCAAAGAGGTGTGCGCCAAAAGCCTAATGGAACCATAAATTAGAACTTGCTTGTTGAAATTGGAAACTAATAGCTACATTAAAAGATGAACATTGACCTCATGTATGTAAATAGATGAAAACGTTAAGGCAGAAGCATACCTTGTTTATTTTCAACCAATTGTTGATACACTCAGGATGGTACAGATGTTTGCAGGAAAGATGTGTTAAAGACTCACCATCCTCAAAGTCCACCCGGCAAATGACGCACCTGAAACAGGATCACAACAATTAGGCACCCTGGTATAGCATTAACAAAGTTAAGTTTACAAGTAACAGAATTTGCATATACGAATCATTGCTTCCATGCTGATCACTCCCAATCTTGTAGTTGAGTGAAGGCAAACCGGCAATAGTATCGGTTGAAAGACCTCTGCTCTCAGTTCCAACTACTTCACCCAATGCCAGTAATTCCTGAAATAATTGAAATTTTCTATCAACCATGAGACACAAGGAGACAAAGAGGGTGGACAGCATTACACAAACTTTGGTATGTAGATCAAAGTTACCTCGTATGAAAGTTCATCTGGGTCAACGTCCTCCCAAGCATCCTACAAAAACAGATTATTAACAGGAAGTACTTATAGAATTAACAAAAATACATGAGTTGTGTGATTAATATTACATTCCAAAAATAGTAACAAATCAATCCAGCCAAACTGATATTGTGATCACAATAACATGTGATAATAAACAAGACGAAGAAGCCAAATCAGAACAAGATATTCTGACATGCGATGCAGGATATTGAGCCAACTGTTGGTCCAACAGTACTAATACGCCCCTAAACTTTATTTTATCTTTGTATTTATTTTCTAATAATGTCTCCTTTTTCTCAGACATGCAAGTAAATGAAATAAGATTAACCTTTTATCTCAAAGATTTTGGCCCATAAATACATAGGATTTTTTGTTAACAAACTTATCACCATTTTGCTACTAAAACATGCTAAAGCTATTGACATAGAGCTTTAGAAGGTTATCAATATAGCAGGCACCTATCTGAAATTAACGAAGCAATTTAGACATAGTCTTGGCTATCACAGCAGCACTGGGCCTGTAATAGTGGCGGTCACTACTATCCTCTAAAGGGAGACCTTTCTGTTTTAACATCACTAAAACTGACCATCATTGAATGTCTGCAACTACTTCTAGCTCCATTCACAAGCAATATTTAGGACATAATCTATCACAATTTTGCACTTTTAGGTCCACGCACGCACAGCTGGGACTTCACACTTCTACCATTGTTCAAATTACTGTGAGACTTGCACATTCTCAGACAGTTCCGACACGTTGATCTGGTCTTCAATTCCAATGATCCCACCATTGTTTAGGTTCATTAGGTATTTCTCTGTTCTTTTGCACAACTTAAAACTTCGTAGTCACATCCATCTGACCTGACTTTTAGTTCATTTTAGGTTTACTAATTGGAATTTGGGGTCTTAACTCACATGTTTGGAAATTGGAAACACATTTTATACTTGCGTCATCCCGAAAAATCATTTCCAACACGCAAAAGCTACTTGTATTAGCTTCTATATGATGTAGATTGAACTTGACATGAAAAGAATCCGTAGTAATTAGTAGTTACCATATTTTACAAAGACTTGAAACTCTTAAAATTATCAACTTTGTCCTTTACAGATTGCTCCCGAATCTGCTTTGTCACAGATAAGCCATAAAATAAAGAACTGGTCCCCAATATAAGCCTATCATCCAATAGCTTTGGTCGCATCTCTATTAGTTTCCAGTGCAAAAAATATTTTTCCTAGTGAGCAGACCTCCAATTTCAAACAAATTACTCATAAACATCTGAATGAATGTAATAAAGTATTCACAATAAACGACCCAGAGAACCCAATCAAGGTGAGAGGTGCTTTATTCTTTTCATCCTACCCTATAGATAGGAACGAGGTTCCTGAACAGGTCCGGAGAGAGTATATATTCAGAGCCTGAGCCCACCCCCAAGGTAACAAAATTACCATTGTGCCAAGGCTTTCCCTTGGTGCAAATAAAATAATATACACTATAAATGATAAATAGATGAGAACAATTGAAGTTAATAGATTTATTCCAAAAATAAATTACAGGTCAAGCTTGTCTTTGAAAGAATTTAGCCACGCCAAATCAAATCAACATATGTTTGGAGAGCTAATAGGGGGATTCTCCTCAAGCCAAGTAAAAGTGGAGGAACTCTGTCAAAGTTCATTGATTACAAGCACCAGTAACTTTTCCATCATCCTTTTTTTTTTTGGAAAATGAAGTTCAGGTGTAGGAAGGCATAGTTATCAATAGAATGCAGCACTAATGCCATCACAGCATGTTACAGCCTGAGGCCCCCACAAACCTCATTTAATGGAGCATTTTCGCCATCCTTCATTTCCAATCATTCATTATTCATTGAAGAAAGCCTCTAATAATCTCATCCACCCTCATGAGCTCTATCTCATTGATTGCCAGTGATATTTACGACCATTTCCAATGTTTTCCAACACCCTCACTACACAACTGCACACTCTACCCAATCCAATGCTCATTCTCTGTTCACACCCCAAAGACGCAGGTTGCAAGCCTCATTCCTTTTTTCCACCTGCTCTGCTACTAAATCCTTCAACACTATTCCTTTTTTTTTTTAATAATGAATATGATTAATTTTGGATAAATTTTGCTTTTGAATATATGGGTGTTAGTATAAATCTATAATATAATAGTCAGAATAGCAGCCATTCTGCTATATGCAATACCGCTACAGCACCTTTTGTGGGAAAACACTCCCTCCACATTGATATCCGGTACTGATATAACAATGGGTATAGATGAATTGCTAACCATAAGACAGAAGGAGAAGAGGTTGACCGTGCTAATAATCGCCAACCTCTAAAAATGAAAAAAACTGCTTCAAAACACTTCCTAAAGTATCCATATGGACATCTTACTGAAGAATAAGGGGGAAATGTCCCTGAAATGATAAAATCTCCAAAATATCCAAAAAAAAAAAGAAGCTCTACTCTAAAAGTATGAAATAATTAAAAAAAAATACCTAAGGGGGAGATTATGATCCCACACACAAAAAACACATACGGAGACAATGCTTTATTGAGTGTCCAAACGCACATAACAATAAATCATACACTCTTAATTTAGTAAGCTCTCTAGAGTGTAGTGGTAGAAAGTAGATGAAAGAACCATGCCCTAAATTGATTTATTGAAAACTTGGAGTTGGTAAAGCCAAATGGCATCATTATATATGTGGCCAATTCTATTGAGTTGGATAAGGCTTGCCCGTTTTTGTTAACAAAATAAATGAAAGATTTGAAATTGAAGAAGTCTGAGCTGTAAACCTATACTTATACTGAATGCACAAACAGTTGAAGGAGAGAAGTTGGTTGTCTACCCTAAAAGTGATGCAATAGTAGATAGAACAAAAAAAACTCCAAAGTTTCCTCAAAGAAAATGTACACCCTGGGTTACGATAATTTTCAAAACAGGATTAAATTATGTCCATTACTAAAGCAAATTTCCACCAACAGATATTATATTCCAAGGAACCATAAAATATGCCCCAAATTATACAGTACAGAGGTTTTACACCTTTTCAATGTTTGGTATTGTGTACATGGTTCCGTGTGAGAGTACATGTACAGAGACATTTACCTGAGAATTAGCACCATGTTCCTCTACGTCCTCTGCCTCCCCTGTATTTGAAAAAGAAATTAGTGTTTATTTCAAAAAGAATAAAATAAAAAACTATAAATTACACTCAGCCAAGAAAACTTACGATCATTTATCCCAGCAAAAGCCAACAATCTAGCTGCCATCTCCCTCTCTTCAGCTTCCTGTAATGCTCTAGCATATGCTTCATCGCTTGAAAAAACATCTGGGTCAAATTCAATGCTGGGATTATCATGTTCTCCAGCATTAGCATGGACATCAAATGCATCTTCATCTTCATACTCCTCATTATCATCATCTTCGTCGTCATCCTCGTCATCATCATCATCATCCTCATCCACGTCAGTACCATCGTGTAGATCATCAAAATCATCTCCATCATCATGCAAATAGCCTTCACCTTCCCAACTACCATAATCACTTCCATCATTATTCATTCTCAGCATCATATATGCCCTTTCCTATTTAGTAATTAAAAACACAATATCAATAAGAAGAATGTGAAAATAAAAGCAAAAAACCAACCCTGTAGTTAGTAGTTTATTGACGTATAAGTGTATTACACACATACGGAGGCAGGGAGCCTAATTAAAACAACTTACTAAATCACATTCGTCATACAACAACATTCATTCCATATCTCTACATGTAACTGGACGGTTTGATCAACATTAAAATTAGTTGGGTTCGTGAGTGTTAGCCCGAAAACTTTTGATGTGAAGTTTGGCTTTGATTATCTATCATTAAAGAGGAAACAGCTTGGGGGAGAATCATAACTGTTAGACTTCAATAGCAAAGCCCGTCAAATCAGACACCGATTAACGACATGAAGACATAGCTGTTTGTGAAAGACGGGTGAAAGAGTACAGCAGGGACATGCAACCGCTACTAAATAAAACGAAACATTAACCTAAATACAATTTAAGTAAAACAGAATTTCAGTAATACTATAGGCTTTAAGTAGTATCAAGCATCCTGATACAGAAAATCATTTTGATTACTCAGTACTCGTAAAATTGGATTACTAAGCTTATAGTTCACTTGATTTTGGTTTCTAACCACAGGTATAGAACTAAACAAAGGAATATAATAGAATGAGAAGAAGAAGAAGAAGAAGAAGAAGAGCGAAACCTGTTCCTGGAGGGTTCGAGCAAGAGCAAGGTCAGCATCGACCTGGCTGAGATTAGTGAACGGGGTTCGCGTAGGTTGGCGAGGGTTGGGCGCAGATCCAGTTGGTTCTCCTTCACCTACATCGGCTTCTCGATCTTCTTCCTCTTCCGCCTCCACTTGCTCTGCCATGTGCTCCTCGCCATTCAAATTGGAATGCTCTTCCTCTAGGTTATGATTGTTCGATTTCACTCCTCCGGAACCTACTTTCGCAGTGGCGGTGTTATTGTTAGCGGCGGCGGCGGCGGTGTCGTTCTCCATGCGAATGCGAGAGAAGAAGAAGCAGAAGAAGAAGAAAACGGTGAAAGAGAGAGGAATTGGAGATGAAGCAGGCGCAGATAGATTAAGAGGATCGAATCAATCGAAGAGAATATATATAAATATGATTATATAATTAATTATTAATTAACTTATTATTATACATTATATATATATTCGAAAATAATCAAATAAATAGGAGATGAAGGTTAGTAGTGGCTTTAGAGAGAAAGATCATAATCAAAATCAAAACTGAAAAGGTCCACAGGATGGAATAAGGAGACGCTGTGGGCTCCACAAGCTTCGACGTTCCGATTCAACATCACCGTCCATCAATGTGGTCCCACGTAAGATCAACGGCTCCTCGTGCCTCTTCCCAGTAAGTTATAACTTGGGGGAGAAGACAACGTGTTTGTTTTAATTTTTGAAAAATTATTTATTTTATATGAGATAACAAAAACAAAAAACAGAAAGACTACCTCATCAAATGTATTATTATACTTTTCAAATAACATTTTTCTGAAGCAGTTATTTTTATATGTTTAACAAATTGTAACTAATTTGTAATTTTTTTCTTTATTAATTTTAAATAATTTTGTTTATTTTTAGGAGTGTGGATCACTCAACTTATTTTGAACTTAAATTCTTTTTTGTAAGTGGATTTTGAGCCATCCACCTAGTAAAAGAATGGAACATCTCTCCTTTGTGAGGAAAAATATCAAAAATTCTAAAAAATTAAAATATATAATATTTAAATTACTTATAATTAAATTATTATTATTTTTTAAATATTTTATTTAGATAGAATTATTACAATATTTGTATTTCAATTTTTTATTTGAATAAATTAGTTGAACATTTTTCGTTTTAAAAATATTTATTTTAAAATTTAAATTTTAAAAAATATTTTTTTCAAATTTAAATATTTAAATAACATTAACTATTTTTTTCAATATGTATGAATATAACGTGTATAAAAAGATTACTTGCGAAATTTTAATTTTCTTGTTTATTGATGAATTTTAAAATTTATTGTTTTGATTACTTGAAATATTTTATTAATAATTTCAAATTTTCATTTTTGTTTTTAATATTTTTTATTTAAATAACTCGTTTTACTTAAGAAAATCAAATTTCAGTTATTATTTTAAATTGCATCATTCAAACATTCTGTTAATATTTAGATAACGACGATAAAAAATTAAGTCATGTTTGTATTAATAATGGCATTAAATTTATTTTAAAAAAATAGTAAAAATACATAAATTACGTGTTATTTTTTTTACTAAAATAAAAATATTATTATCATTCAAATTATTAAAATAAATTAAAATAATTTTTACAATTTTATTATAAGTAATGTTTTTTAAAAATTATTTTTATTAAATAGTTGTTTTATTTTAAGTTTTAGAAAAAAATCAAATTAAAAAATTAATTAAAATAAATTTATAAAATAACTATTTTGATTTAAAAGGATAAAATTAGAGATAATTTGACCGAATAATGATAAATACAAATATCAAAACACACAGTATATAATAAACAGATAATCTCAATATATATAGAGAGATAGATAAGAATGATTCAAGGGTTGGACAAGCATGAAACAAATTTAAGAATAAGAACTTTTTATTTGTTAATAAAATAAGTTATATTAAAATGTATCATGGTTTTATTTTAAATTTATTTTTTAATTATAGACTTAAAACAACTAATATTAAAAATAATTAGATTTTATTTTTAGAAATCTAAAACAATTAGTATTGGGAAAAAAATTAGCCTAATATATGAATCTATACGATAGTGACATATTAATGATGATGAATAAAATAAAAATATATGAATCTATAAAATAAAAAAGTTAGACAAGATGACATATTAATTCAGCTTCACCTCCATTTTTAAACCACTGGTAGACTATCCTAAATCATGGATTCCAAATAGCAAATAATGGATTAAAATAGGTTGGTGAAATAACCCCTATTATTAGTCCCTACATTAAATAATTTAAAGATTTTTTTTATAAGATTGTGCTATTCAATATTTTACAATATTTTAAAAATTGTTATTCATATGAGATTTAAAAAGACTAAAAACACAAGTTAATATCCATAGTCATACAAATTTCAATAATTTAGTTTATTTGATAATTTGTTGTGAGTTGTTACTGCTACCATTATAAGTTGTTGATTTCTACAACAATTTTTGTTTATGTCATTGCTATTATTCCTTATGATTGTTTGATAAATGAAAATTAATCTTTTGTTTGTTTGTGTTTTTTTCTTTGATTTATTGATTTTTAAATATTTTTTATCTAACCATAAACTGAGATAATTGTTCTTTTTCAAAAGCGTGCTCTAGACTTTTTTTATGATTATGGAATTGGAAATATAAATATTAAGAATTTTATTATAAAAAGAAGAGGAAAAATTAATACAAAAATATTTAACTGGTATTTCTTATAAAAATATTGTTAACAAATGAATCGAATGTTGTATATTTTTTAAGGCTTAAAACTTTATTTTTTGAGGTTTAAAGTCTTTAGTTGTCCCTATTTATGTGAATTTTTTCCAATTTGATCTTCTTTTTATTAGAAACTTCAATTGAGTCCTTAAAAGTGCTAATTTGAATGGTTTGAGTTCATGTCGTTAAGTTTGTGCATAGGTGGGAGGTTGATGTGTCTAATTTTTTAAGACGTGGCATGGTGAGAGTTGAAACGTGGCATGATTTAGGCCGGAATTTGGTAAAATGTAATAATATAATATTAGGGATTTCATGGGATTTAGGGTTCAATCAATTTGAATGGGATTAAAAATCTGATAGGTGGTTGTAGATCAGACGAAGGGATGGAGATTAAGTAATGAATTTTCGAATGGGGTATGGGAGTAACAGTCAAGGTTGATGTGGAAGGAAGGCTTGGGGGACTGTGAGGTCATCCAAAACCAGACGACGGACTTGAAGGAGACGACGACGTCAGTGGCGACGAGATCAGGATTGTTGATCAAATCCACCCCAATTGCATTTCCACACTGACCGTAGTTGTAGTTTCAAGATATCTGGATGGGACCCCTGTCATAGTATTGTTGTCCAGAAGCGCAGGAGAACTGGGGAGTTGGGGAGCAGTAATCGCTTGGGTTCCGCTCTCTCACGAAGCAGTAACCCCATGTCTATGGTTCGTCCGGTGCACTGGGCCATCCCCCGGTTGTTTCATGAGACGTTTCCCCTGCATTAAATTTTTCATGAAAAAGGGAATCTTTTTGAAGGTCCTATGCTAAAACTTTCATGCCTCCGAAAAAAAGGAATCTTTTTAATGAAACACTGCAAACACTTGTTGAAAACTGTCCCCCTTGAGATCAGGTTTCTCTTCATTTGAGTCATGGGGAATATCAAAAGGATTTCGTCTAGGTTGTAGAATAGAAGAAGCAGATCCAGGAATGGGTGGTAATCCCATGGCATCAAAGGAGTCATCAGGGAAATCAAATGGATTATGCCTAGCAATAGGTGCAACATTACTGGTAATATCAGCAAAGTCTTAAGTTATTAGATTCTTCTCAGATATCAATCTCTTTTGTCTTCTTCTGGCAATAAGATTCTCCAACCGCATGTTCCTTTCCAGCTCTAAATTTCCCAGATCCATGAGGTTATTTTGGTCATCCTCTATCTATTTAATGACAAATTTACTTTCATCTTCTTTGTCACCGGTGGCTTTTTCTTGCTCTTCTTTGAACCTTAAATCCCATTTCAGAAATCCATATTATTAAAATTTAAAAAGTTGCTAAGTTCCACTTATTCAACTCTGAGTATGCCACGATTTAAAAAATTGACACATTAACCTTCCACTTGTGCAAAAACTTAACCCCATTAACTAAATCTAACGTCATGAGCTCAATTGATTGAAATTAGAACTTATAAAAACTCAATTGGGGATTTTAATAAGAAAGAGATCAACCCGAGAAAACCTAAAGGTAAAGATGGAAAGTTTGGAGTGCCAAAACATTGGTATTGAGAAGTTCTTATTAAATATTTGGATGACAATAACTTAAAGTTGCCAATAAATGAATCAAAAAGCTTTTTTTTTAATTACTGAAAAAATATGGAAGAATTGGTGTGTTAAAACCTATTAAAGGAGTATACTTTTTTTTATTAAGTATTTATGCGAAAATAGTTTAATTAATAATATAAAACTATAGAGAGAATGTAAGTAAGTATCATTTAAGCTATTTTTTTTGGCCTAAAACAATTATGTGCTACAATTTACAAATTACTTACAAAGTGTTTACATAATTTTTATTATTTTAAGTAAAGAATGACAAAGCAACTCTTCAGATTTAGACTTATTTATATATTTTTTATATGATATTACGTCACTCTTGATTACGTCAATTTTTTACAGATTTTTTAATTATATGCGTAAATCTGAATTGATGATATTATTATTATTATTATAAAACAGTTATTAGAAGAATATTTAAGTTTATAATATAATGGAGCTAACAAAAAGGTTATTATAATTTTACATACATAAAATAGTTTAAAATATTGAAAATTTACAATGTTTTTTATTCTCTCGAGTTATATAGATGTATTCACACTAAATTAAAATATTTAACATGTAAAACACGTGTCATTACTTCTAAGTAAACAAAACAAAATAAATTAATTTTTATTATGTACTTGTTGTACTGTCATTCCTTCTAAGTAAGCACCTGAGAGAAGTTGGATAGAAATAGAGTGAGTAAAGAAATTCATGAAATTGCATTGCAAATTCCATATAATATAATAGTATTGACGCGAAAAGAACGGGAGCAGAAATTACTGTGACATGTTGTGGAAGAAAATCTTCATAAACGCACGTCTCTTTTCATGGGTACGATTCACATGGACTTAGCTATATTGTTCTATTTTATGCTACATGCTACATTTTACAACATGGTTGTTTCACCTTGATTTTATGATTGAAGTGACTTAGTTTCAAATATGTTTGTGCTGTCTTATGGGATCACATATATTGTTACCGACTGCTAACTGTTTGATAAAATGCCCGAAAGAACCTTGACTGCATAAACAACAACTTAATGGGGGATAAATAGTTTTGTACAAATTGGAGTTCTTTAAAAGTGAATTCATATTATGCATTGCTGTGCTGAACATTTTTAACTTTCACTCTCTTGAACTGCAGTTTCTAAATTTTATTGCTCGACAGAGTGCAGCGTATATAGATAAGAAGTCGGGGAATGCTATTGTTGTATGCTATATTTAGTTTGGATTATACTTTAAGTTGAATTTATTATGATCCATCTGCCTAGTTGAGAGGTTTAGCTGACTGGGTGTCAGTTATAGAATGTCACTTTTCATCATCTTGCTTTTGATTCGAGGATGAAGCATGTTATGTAACTTTGATTAAAGGTCTGGATAGTGTACGATCTTTGTGTTCATGTTTAATGCTTTGTTCTTAATCTTGTGGTTCAGTCTTCCTCTTGCTGTGAAAACTCTATCTTTTCACTTTTTGAAAAATGGTGACTAAATTATTGGTGCAAGGACTTTGAAGTCAAGAAATACAAGACTGAGTTATTCTTCAGTTTTGTGGTGCTTTACTAGAAGGTTTCAGAATTGGAATATCTTTATTAAAATAAACAATAAAAGAAGTCGTTTTCCTTTATTTTCTCATTTGTTCAAATAGTCTGTTACCTTTTTTTTAGTTAGGCATAAGACTGAGTGCTTCCGTTTTTTGTTAATTTGATTCATGTTTACAGAGATCGTTCTCATTCATTAATGGCTCACTTTGTTAATTATACTTAGAGCAACTGGAGGACCTATTGAAGCCTAACCATTATATTCTGTCTCTTAACAGTGTTGCCTGGGCTCACCCTTGCTTTGATGATACATAAATATTGAAGCATTAGATCTTCAGGTTTTCCAAGATATATCGGTAAATGTTTGGTGTGTCATGGTCATGTAAAATTACAAATTTAAACCAAAATCTACTTAGCCTCATTGAAAAATGCAAATCAATGCTTGAACTGAAGCAACTTCATGCTGTTGTGATCTCCTTCGGCTTATCCCAAGATGACCCATTTATATCCAAAATTCTTTGTTTTTCTGCTCTATCCAATTCAGGTGACATTAACTATTCCTACAGGGTTTTTTCTCAGCTTTCAAGTCCAACAATTTTTAACTGGAATACAATCATAAGAGGCTACTCAAATAGCAAAATTCCAGTTAATTCCCTGTCTATTTTTCTAAAGATGCTGCGACTTGGGGTTGCACCGGACTACTTTACATACCCATTTCTTGTGAAGGCATCAGCCCGCCTTTTAAACCAGGAAATTGGAGTATCTGTGCATGCTCATATTATTCAAAGTGGGCATGAGTCTGACAGATTTATTCAGAATTCTTTGATTCACATGTATGCTTCTTGCGGGAATATTATGTGGGCTCAAAAGGTATTTGACAGTATACAGGGAAAAAATTTGGTTTCATGGAATTCCATGTTGGATGGTTATGCTAATTGTGGAGAAATGGTTACGGCTCAGAAAGTTTTTGACTCTATGTTAGAGAAGGATGTTCGGTCATGGAGCTCTTTGATCAACGGTTATGTTAAGGCTGGGGAATATAGTGAAGCTATGTCTATCTTTGAAAAGATGCGGGCTGCTGGACCCATAGCCAATGAAGTTACCATGGTGAGTGTATCATGTGCTTGTGCACACCTGGGTGCTTTAGAGAAGGGAAAAATGATACATAAGCACATAGTGGACTGTGATTTGCCACTGACATTGGTCTTGCAGACTTCTCTTGTGGACATGTACGCCAAATGTGGGGCAATAGAGGAGGCTTTGCTTGTATTCCGCAGGGTCTCTAAGAGTCAAACTGATGTGTTGATTTGGAATGCAATGATTGGAGGTCTTGCGACACATGGGTTAGTAGAAGAATCCCTTAAATTGTTTAAGGAAATGCAAACGGTTGGTATCGAGCCTGATGAGGTCACGTACTTGTGCTTGTTGGCTGCTTGTGCTCATGGAGGTTTAGTTAAGGAAGCATGGCACTTCTTTGAGAATCTTAATAAATGTGGCATGACGCCTACAATCGAGCACTATGCTTGCATGGTAGATGTGTTGGCACGTGCAAATCAGTTAACCACGGCATACCAATTTATTTGTCGAATGCCCATAGAGCCAACAGCTGCCATGTTAGGTGCCCTGCTTAGTGGGTGTATCAACCACAGAAATTTAGCTCTTGCAGAAACAGTCGGCAAGAAGCTTATTGAGCTAGAACCAAATCATGATGGTAGATATATTGGCTTATCTAATGTTTACGCTGTGGACAAACGCTGGGATGATGCAAGAAGCATGAGAGAAGCTATGGATAGAAGAGGGGTGAAAAAATCACCCGGGTTTAGTTTTGTTGAAATATCTGGAGTCCTTCACAAATTCATTGCTCACGATAAAGCGCATCCTGATTCAGAGGAAACTTATTGTATGCTAAATTTTGTTGTCCGTCAAATGAAATTTAGTTGGTACAAAGACAAGGAAAAGTCGCTGAAGGATACATCAATGGGAGATGACTTGTTGACTTGGTTATCTTTTTAGTAGTAGACGGTATTAAAAGTTTGTAGCTATTTACTTTTTTTTGGAAGAATTATCTCAAATGCTCAGTGTTTTTTAGCAAAATGAGAAGTCCTCTAAATTTATGGGTTTAGCAAAATGCCGTCACTCACCTGAAGTCATCTGTAAGTGTTCCCGGAGTTGGGAGATTTTTCCAGCCTTAAAATTGAGGAACGCCATTTTTTTTAATCCAAAAAAAAGAAAGGAAAAGAAAGCCATCTAATATGTAAGTACAACTTGCTAAGTGTAAATTTTGAACTCTAATTACCAGTTAATGAGTGGGAAAAAACTGCATCATTAGATGTATTTCTTTCTTTGTGTGCTGCATTTCCTTTTTTGGTGTGACATTTCGGTACTATTGCAGATACATTCTCAGCTAAAGTTAAAGTCACATTGATCTTATTGGAGTTGGCTATGTGATTTAATGTGGTCCTGAAAGGGAATATTAATTGTGTTCTCATATTGTTTTAGCCTAGCTTGAATTTGAGCATCTTTGTTTGGAGATAGGAATAAGCTAGCTATCTTAGGAATATAATTGTTTCTCATAGCCACCCTTGATTGGATAAAAAGATATTTGGTCTTAGTGTGTGTATATGTATATATATGTACACATACACGAACACACATATAAGGAGTTAAGTGCCGTGTCAAAAAACCTCAATCATAATAAAATTTAAAGAATTTTTGTTTTTGATTAGAGATTCAAGTTACCATCCTCCTTCTTTTGTTTATCTCATGGTGAGTGACTCATATGTGTGATTCAAAGTTCATTGTTGAAGAAAGTAGAGAATTTTTCTCTTTAACCTTATTATAAAATTTGAGTCTCAAGTTGCAAATCACTGTACTTGCTTATCTCATAGAAAATAAATAAAACAATTATAGTTTCTAACATTTTCGTGAATTATAATCTTGAATATTTTCTTTTCATAGCTTTTGCAAAATCAATATCACCATTTATTCAAGAATCTTTTCAAAATCTATCCAAGATCCAACCAAGAAGTTAACCAAAAGTTCTTTTTGTGAAATTTGAGTGAAATTATCCTCGTATCCAAGCAAACCTAGCCTGGGTTTACATCATGATTGCAACAATTTATGTTAAGTATTCTTGTCTGAAATGAACTTGATGTTCCGTGTTCAGATGTTTGCTTGCTGATATTTTGTTTCTACAAGGAAACAAAATCAAGGTGTTTATTATTAAGAAGTTTTACATTTTGAAACGTGTGGTGGTGATTGGTTGAAAGTGAACATTTTGACTGTAATAGTCCAGATATTGATGAGTGGATGCTGTTCCATCTCTCCATATGAAGTTGGAACTCTTGCTTCGCATGTATAAATCCATATAGAATATATATTTGGATAAAACTTCAAGATTAAGCATTCAGTGATTTGCGCATAGGTTAGAGTCTACTACTGACTTGAATAATAGACAAAATATTCATCCTCAAACTAAACTTTTTATCTGTTGTTTTGTATAGAGTCTCAAATGCAACTGCTTTTGGTTCCTATAATAACAATACTTTTTTTGTTATTTAGAGAACTCGTGTCCCGCGGAGATTAGAGGACACATTAGCATCAAGTTATTCATTGTCATTGATGACATTGCTATTGACGTTCTACATCTTGATTTGTTTGCGTATCCTTCTGAACATCTTGTCCTTGCTCTTTGCTTTTTCCCCACAGAAGAATATACATACCAGCAATGACCAACGCAGATCCTGCAACACTGTTTATTGCAGACAGAGATACATCAGGTGCAACGAAAAGTAGAAAGGGCGGAAATCACAAAAGAATAAGATAAGAAATCAACCTTCCCAGATAAATTTCCTCCTTTAGTACAGAGAAATCAAGGATGGCCACAAATATCTGTATAAGGGGGGTAAAAGCGGCGGTGAAAACTGGACCACTTTGTTTGACACACCATGACATTGCCACATAGCACAAGCCCGACCCTACCAATCCCTAAACTCACAAATTTGAATGTTAAAGGCTTGGACAAGCAGTTAGGATTGCTGAGTTCTACTTGAAATGCAAACCAATGTTTTTAATTTGAAGTTAGAATTTGCAAAGAAACAGACTACTTAAAGATAATTTAAAATGATCATGATATTACGAAGAATGTACTTACAGCATATATAATACTTATTATTTCTAGCTTTCCTTTGAGAATCCACGAAGCATTATTTCTCTTGATGATCAGAGTTAATATTGCTGATTGAATGGCAGCGAAGAGTGACAAAATAGCTGTGCAAGAGTATTGACATGGATATTTTTTGCTAATCTTTGCTTGTATGATGAACCATGAAGACCACAGGAGGCAGCTTACAGTCAGAATTATGGAACCTATAATCCACGTCTCTAACTTGGCAGTTGAAGGTACACTTGTAACTTTGTCAGCTATGTATTGAGATTGTGGCTTGATAAGGGGCATTCCTTTATAAAGGACCAACAACAAGGCTCCACCAATGCACACAAAAGTTCCCATGACTTTAGCTTTGCCTCCCTTGCTTTGCACATTCACCTTCTCTATCCTTGAAAATTTTCAAGTCCAAGGATCAAAATTACTGTTGTGTTCCACAATCAAATAATATCATTTTGTTTTAACTTACCCAAATGGCACTGCCATAATGAACGTAAATACAGGCACCATGTTGAGGAACGCACACGAGAACGTAGCTGAAGTATATTCAAGTCCGAGAAGGAATAGGTTTTGTGGAACTGTTACTCTGAAAAGCATTAATAAGGTATTAAAATCACAAACATTGCGATGCTTGTTACAATTTGTTTTAAAAGTGAGGTTTTGGATAGAAGGATTATGTTTCAAGATATCCTGAGATTTTGCTAGGTACTAAGGCTTGTTATGTAACGATTTAGTTATCACTTGTTATGTTACGATTTAGTTAGCACTTGTTATGTTACGATTTAATTAGACAACATAAATACAAAATCAGAAGCTTATGTTTAGTTACAATATTACTTACCCGAGTAGGGCACTGAGGAAAAGGAGAAATATTATGCGAACTTCCACTTTGTGTTTCCTGTAAACAGCAAAAAACTGGCTTTTCTTGTCATTTGCAAAATTTAGGTAGTTCTACAAGAAAAGTTGCGTCACTAAAACAAACATGGTCGTCAATGTTAACCAAAGATGTGTTTAAGGTGACAGAATGAAGAATTCAACAATAACTTTTTTTTATCCTCTAAGTAGAATGTTACGAGAAATGAATTTGGTTCTTGCCTTTCATAGATGAAGGCAATAGGTGCCATGAAGATAAACGAAATTGCCTGTCGATAAGTTATAATGGACATGTAATCCGTTCCTTCATTAAGAACCTTCTTCAGAAGCAAATTGACAAAAGCCAAAGCCAAGTTAACTAGAATCATGATGGAGACTGGCTTGAACAGTTCATGGCAATGCGTCAACATCATGAAATTTATTTGTTGTACTTTGTTGTTTGTAAAGTTTTTGAAGAATGGTGTGATGACGGCTGTTTTCTCCAATATATAGAGGAATTCAACAGCCTCCCAGAACAGGGGAACAAACATGATGATATATTCTTCACCACATCAACATTCCCCATTCAGTGTTCCAGACTTTATTATTTGTTTGTTTTCAATTTCTAATGGTGGAAATTTACACGTAATCGATGAGATATTCGTTCTTGTCATTGACTCACCTTAGTCTGGGCAAATGAGGAACATATCAGATTTATCACATCAATCTTCTTTCCAGTCAAATTGCCACATTTTACATGTTGATTCCTTTCACATTCCCTTTCCTGCAATTTTCTGCTAAGATCAGTAATAAATTAGATCACGTGTTGTTTATATACATATCAATTGACATCAGAATAAGCTTCTTATCTTCTGAATAAGTATAATCCAACATATGGTACCGCCCTTTGAACCGTTACCTTATTATCCTGGTGAATAAGTGGTTGTATTAGAATTTCACTAGTGGTGTAACTTGTAAGCAACATTAGAAAGTTAAGACAGATATGACACTGTCTCCAATTTCTTTTGATTACTGGGAATCTGTTTTTCTGATTTTCTTCACGCCTTATTATATTTATCCGTCTTATTGCAGGCAAAAACAAGATGTCAAATCATGGGAAAAGAAAGATAGCAGAAAGGTGTAAGATGCTGTCTTACTGGAATGCAAATTGCAGAATGTGAAAAGAGGTTTGTGGTGTATCTTTTTACTTTCATAGATTATATATCATTTATTAGAGACATTCTTATTCAAGTCAAGTAGAATCACTGTGAAAAATAAAGTTTTTTGCGAACATTTAATTTAACTAAACATATAGAATTCGAGACCATGAGAAAGTTAAAATAACATTATGTGAATTGATTACCCTGTTCAGTTATTTGTATTGTATTATAGTATAGTTTCGTCACATCATAGCTAAATTATAAAGGTAGAGAGCTCTTGGAGCTTAATATTCTGGAAATACTATTTTTCCACAGTTTTTAGCACAAATACATCTCAGTAACCATTTGGTGGGAGGAAAATATTGGAATTCATGAAAAACATAATGGGACTTGCTTTTAGAAAAGAACAAAGAAGAAAATTTTGAAGCCAAAAGAATGGATATTTCCTAGATATAGGAATTGACATTTCATCATGAAAACGAAGGAACACAATACCACGTTTCCACCAAAACAGTTCACCATGCAGTGGTTTTGATCAAATAAACAAAGAATCAATGCTTTATGTTATTTCATTCACTTCTACTTCCACTCTAGTTTTCAATTTATTATACTTATAAATAATCTCTTCATCTTCCCCAATATCTCTTTTATGGGATGACAATCCGTGATATTCCATAATAATAAAATAACAACTTTTAAGTATATTTGTATTCCCTTAAATTTTAAAATAAGTTTGTTTCCTATGCTCCAATTAAAATTATTTTATTTCCTATATTTTATAAAGTATTAGTTCTAATATCTCTTTTAAATATAATTATTATTTTTTATATTATTGGTAATTATAAGTCATTTACATGACAACATAGTTTGATTTTACATTGTCATTATCATATATTTTATTGTGTGTTTGTTTTGCTTTCAAAATAATCCTTGGGATAATATTGAGGTAAAAATATTGATAAAAAGAAGTATAAGTTTTTTCTTCAAACTACAGATTTTAAAACTAATTTTAAATTTGAATAATTAAAAACAAACTTATACACATATTAAGAATTAAAATACATTTAAAACTATTAACATAGTATGAAGCTATTATAATATTATTTAAAATTATGGCCGTTATTTTATTGCATAAATATATATTTTGGTGATAGAAATCAGATCCACATGTCTAGTATGAAACTATTAAAATATTATTTAAAAAACTATTAAAATATTATTTAAAAACCGCAAATATAATTTTGCTTAAATGTAATAATATTTTAGTTTTGAATGGTCACTTTAAAGTATTTCTATCAACATGATGGAATTTTGAAGTTATTTGGATCAAGTACATTCAGTGCATTTTTTATTTATTTATTTTAGAGGATTGAAATATTATTTGAAAGTTGTTTGAACAAGGGTTAGATAATATAATTTTCATTTTCTTATTTAAAAATTTGTTTTATTTTTAAGTTAAATATATATTTATTGTCATTATATTATATTATATGAAAGTTAAATAAAATATTTTCATCAACAAATTATACTTGAAATATTTACTATTTGACAAATAAAATTTTACATCTGACTATAATATAACATTCATTCATATTTAATAGATATTAATTTCATAAATTACAGAGATGAAATATAGAAAAATAATTTCAAAAAACACACTTAACCATTATTTTATTTTAATATGTACATTATTGTGCACTTTTATTTTATCTACACTTGTTATATATTTTATTTTCTTTTCTTTCTATCTCTTTTTTCTTATCAGAACATATAATCTATAAATATGTCATTTTCACTCTTTCTAAGTATATATTAAGTGTTGATGTATCTTTTCTATGTACATTAATCGTTTTTCAAATATATTAGGTTGTACCAATGCTTTTCTTCAAAATAAAAATACAAGACCCTTTTGTTTCCATACATTCATTATATTCGCTTTATCCTCAATTACTTAATAATCAACTAATGGTTGAGATCTTGCATAAACAAACACTTATCTTCATCAGTTGTTTATAAATGCTCTTGAAGTTAATCAGAGTTGTTTAGCAAAAAACAGTGACTCAACAAATGATATGACAGAGTTCATATGATCATTGTCACTTCAAAAAAAATATATTTTGAGTGAAACAATTAGTTAAAAAATGTTTTAACTATTATTATTTCAAGTTAATTTTAGGATTTACAAAATTAATTATAAAATTCATTGTAATAACATTAGGAAATAAGATTGATTTTTTTTGTTTAATATTTAAATGCATTTGATAGTTTTCAAACTAATTTTGCTCTCTAAATAATATTAGGGGGGAAATCAATGGATTTGAGGATAAAAAAGAACCTTATTCATTCATCAGATCAACTTGTATTTCAGATTTAGCCATTTGTTCAAGAGGATTTATTTTTTCCTATTTAGCTATTGATCTGATCTCTGTTCTTATTTACTTAGCAGTCTTTAGAAACTTATTTTTAAATGTTTTAACTGTTTAATAACAGTTTAAACCATTTTGACACTTTTAAACAAAAAAAATGGCAAAAATAAAAGGTGACCAAAGATAAAAGGAAATCAGCTACATTAATAAATACATCACCATATGCTATAAGCTTGTGCAAAACAACCATTGATTAATCTTAAAGAGAAGTAGAAACCAGTATATGGAAAAAGCAATTGAACATAAAAACTCTGAAACTCAAGCAGAGCAATGTACTATATTTAAAGAAGCATGTAAGTGTATGTATGTTACATGAAAATTCAAAACCATCAATACCTGCCCTATACTCATTGTATTCATCTTATTCAGAATCAAATCAAGTTCCCGGATAATTAAAACCAAAGGTTTCTGAAAAAGTGAGTAATATTTTTGCAATTTTTTTATATTATCATATTATGTATATTTTTTTTCCCGATTTAAAAATATTTTTATGAAATGAAATTGATAGTGTAAATGAGAATTCGTTATCACCAAAGATTATATAGCATGAGCTATAAGGATCTATTACAGTTAACAAGCAAGGAATAACTATACAAAACAAAAAAGAGAAGTTAATTCATGACATCAAATGATTAACATTTAAAATAAACACTACTGGTAAGGTAAGTTTTTTCCCTGCTATTTTTTATTCCAGTAAGTTTCAAAGAAATTAGATAAACTAAAACTAGTCTCATCAAATATGGTAGCAATTGGTTAAGCTACACCATATATCAATTCTATTTATTCTTGGTGAAATCGAAATTTGTTGGTCCTTATACCTTACCTTGTTGAGACTAGCATATAAAAACCAGGAGTATGCATGAAATTCTTTCGCTACAATAAAGGCCATCTTGACAGGATATAAATAACATAACACAATATACTACAAGTCCCTGCAAAATATTTAATCTTAAACAGGAGTAAGCAACAGTCAAAGTAACTGATCGTCCAAACCCTGAAACTCAAGCACAACAAGGTCCAATATTTAAACAAGCATAGGATGTATTACACATGAGTTTCATAATCATCAAGGGTCATAAAATTGAATTCCACAACGATCATTCATCACCCCTATGGTGACGGCTCCTTCTCTTTTCTGATTTGTTGACATGCCTACCCTTCCTCGAATCATTATGACCACTTGAATCAGTTTCAGAAGATGATGAGGCTCTTTTGTTCTTTCGCTTGTGCCTTACAATGGAATCTTCAGATGAATCAGAATCTGATAGATGGCTTCTCCTTCTTCTTTTCTCTTTCCTACTCTTCCTTTGCCTGCGTCTATGCTCATCATCTTCATCTGATGACTTCTCCCTCTTCCTCCTGTGTTCCCTTCTTCTCTTCCTCCTCCTTCTCCTCCTCTCTTCATCTGAATCATCTGAATCACTAACTTTTCTCTTAGAACTCCTCTTCTTTGACCTACCTCTCTTTCTCCTCTGGTCAGAATCTTTGTCTGATCCATCATCATCTGAATTCCCCTTCTTATTGGAAGAACTTCTCTTCCCACTAATTTTCTTCCCAGACCTTTCAGCAATAATTCTCTCAATCTCCGAATCAATCTCAGAATCTGAACTATCACTGTCCTCCTCTTCTGAGCTCTCAACATTACTTCTCCTATCCAGTTTCTCAGCCTTCAACTTTTTATCCAGTCCAACCAACCCCACAGGCTGCATTGCATCAGGATCCTTCTCTTCATTGTCATCCTTGATTTTCACATAGTTCTTGCACTGAAACTTAAGGTGTCCAACACGGCCACATTTCTTGCAGGCCCCACGAGATACATCCACATCAGCATTTGTTATCTTAGCAAGCTGTAGAAGACCTTGAAAACTAGCATATGCATTCTCAGCGTCAGGTTCTGCATTAGGCAGATTTTGTGAAGAGTCCTTCTTGTCTTCCTTGTTGGGTGCATAAGGGTCATAACCAATGGCACTTTGCCATATGCCATGGGTTTGAAGAGCTGCACTGCTGTGAACCCTATTGTTCGCTGGCATGCGAACCCTTCCTGCTGTAGCCGGCATCTTGATGTTTAAATTTCAATCTTTCTCCTGAGAAAAAGAAACACACAACTTCATTATCAGAAGCAGATAAAGGGGGAGAAGGGAGGGGAGGGGATTCTATCTTACCGAAGGAAGGTCTATGACCTAGAAGGTGGTGAGTCTATTTTCTGTTTTAATGGGTTAAGATTCCTTATTTAAGGTAAAACAATATATATAGCCCTTCAAGAGAAAAGAATCCTAACACAGGTAAAAAAAGACAGATTCCGTTGCTAATACATTTATCTTATTTCCCTATAATCAGAGTTACAATGGATCACCACATATTATATTAACCTGCTATTAAATAAAATTGTTCTTTATTCAAGATATCACGATCCACAATTCTTTCATTATAGTAACTATAAGAGGACTAGATCACTGTGGTCCATAATCTGAAATAGACTACAACGTGCAAACATGCATAGTACAAAGAATGAATTCTTATTCACATAAAGAGATCCAGCCATCACAGTGATGCTCAGTTACTTGTCCCAATAGGATAAAAGATCCAAAAGGCAAGGATCATAGCCACTTATAAGTATTACCAGACTGTAAAACAACAATCAATACAATAACCTTGACAAAAGCCTCCATCACATAAACCTAATATCACAAGGAACCGTTGAAGCATGCCATAAAATCAGCCAAAACTACCATTGGAAGAACCATGGAGTGTGATATCTGTGTCCTAAATACACTGTTGTTGCAAATATTGTTGGTGAACGCTAAACCTAACCCTTCACCCGGATAGGATATGACGGTTCGTTCAGAGAAAACCATCCATTAATCAGTTCTAATTTTTTAGAAACCAAACCCAGCTCTAAATTTTTACAGTATATATATCCTTTGATTGAATATAGACCGTGCATATTCCATGTCTACACGCTTGGTTAGCATTAGACCAGATAAATGGAAACATCTTAAAACACCCAAATCTCAACAATTTGTACAGGCTTCAAATCTCAAGGGACCAAAGCAAAACTCATCAATCCATGACGCAGAAAGCAGGAAAATATTGGGTTAGACAATTCAGCGATCAACCCGTGCTCAACCAAAGATCCGAATCAACTAGACAAAAACCATCAAACCCAACTAGACAAAAACCATCAAACCCAACTAGACAACAACCATCAAACCCAAAAAAAAAACACTGATCCCTTCCTCACCCGCAAAAGAAAAGAAAATAGAAACATTTCCACGCATACATTCATTCATTGGCTTAGCACAAGTGATCTATATTTTCAGAATTTTCATCAAATATATAGCACCCCTCTTAAAAAAAGCATATAATTCCTTGAGTCGGCCCTATTCATCGTCCCATGTGCTCATATAAAAGATTTCAACAAAAATCAGAAAATAAGCTGGCATGGAACAGTGAAAGAGAGAAATCGTCAACTAAAACAAGATGTTGAGGCTATTCAGCAAACACGAAATAGAACATGAAAAGCAATCAAAAAGAAAATAAAGAAACTGAGAAGAATCGCATGCTTACCCTGAATTGTTACCGCGGAGAAGACAATGATTGGATAAGAAAAGGAATAGGAATTAAATTGTTGTGAGATAGGGTTTGTGAGAGAAAGAATTTGGGATTTGTTTTTTTTGCGATATGAATCCTTTAAATAGTATAGAGAAGAGACCGCGTAAGAGGGGTTCAGAGAAAGTGGTAAAAATACGATAAAAAAAAAAAACAAGGATAAATAAGACAATAATTTCATAAATAAGGGAAAAGAAAATTAATCTGATTAAATACTGGGTTCGGTATAATAATACTTCAATGTTTTCAATTTTTTTTGTAAGAATAATTGTATTTTTCTTGTGTTTTCTGTTATAGATTTTTTTTTTTACTATTTTAAAGATTATTATATTATTAGATTTTTTTCACTGATATAATTTTTTTTTTATTTTCTACTTTTTTATCATTGTTGTTTATAGTGGCTATTACTGTTACCTTATTTACTTTGATATTTACTTGAAAATGAGTAATACCAAACTAATCAATTAAAATTTACATTATTACACTTTTATTATTTTAAAAAATGCATATGATATTTTACGATTTATTAAAAAATTTATTTAACTAATTTTTTCTATTACATGTAAATGGAGTTTTAAGACTATTTAAGACTATATGTCATCTTTTACCGTGTCAATTTTTTTTTTCTAATAATACTATTCTAGTACTTTTTGGAATAATATCAAATTACTATGGATAAATTAAATTAGGATTATTCTTATTTTGTGTATTCATTATTAGTCTAATTTTATTCTTTTTACAAACATTTTAATATTGTAATATTAACATGATAAATGTTAGATTTTAATAAATATTAATCATTGTTATAGATATTTTAAGCCAGGTCACAATAAGTTGATCTTGTTGTTACTTATAAAATCAAGCAGTGTTAATAGTGTGTGAAACATCTAAAATCTACGAGTTTTGAGACCACAAATTGTAACAAGAAATTATTATTGCCAAATGAGATGAGGAAATTGTCACCATCGAGCTTCATATTGATGGAGTTTGTGAAATGATACGTTACAATGTTATTTTTATTTCAATACGAGCGCTCCATAACAAAAAAATAGACAACATTTTTATGTTTAATTGTTAATGTTTCAAAATAATACGTAAACTTTGGAACGGTCTAAATATGAATGACAGTAGATTTAGTAATCTAACATAATATTCATATTACCTCTGATTGCATTCTTCAGAATACAATTAAATGGCATTTAAGAGTTGGTAATAGGAAACAGAACATCTATAGAAGATACAAGCTAGATGTGAAAGCTAGGTTTACAAGTCGTATTATGGTAACCAAAAACAACCTTCCCCGGTGTGGTTGAAACAACAAAATATGGAACCGTTCTTACAGTCACGAATGAGCTAATGACCCAAAATTTATTATTCCACCTCCTCCTCCTCATTGAAGAATGATAATTGAATCAAGAACCTAAAAAACATAATCAGAATGGCACAGTAATCAAGAAATAATCTAACAATGTACTCAGTAAATGTAAGTATACAGTCCATTTCAAAGGGCCTGAAGGTTGAAATTACTAACCTTGCTTTTTCTCCAATTTTGTTACCACATCTTGCATAGCATATATTACCATCTTTTTCACCTGCTTCAAAAGCAGTAATCAAGGAGAAAAATAACATAAATTTACAGCACAAAGCTGTTGATATGACAACGCAAAGTTCATTTCTTGATGCATTTGAAAAAATTAACTGTAGAATTTATCATATTTGCTAGTCATGTGTTTGGTTCTGAGAAGTTAATATGAAAAGTAATAAAAACATTTCAGTACAAACATCTACACATACGCATTCTCCTGGAAAAACAGTAAACTAACATCCTCTTTCAAGTCTATCAAAACTTCTTGCAAACATCATTGAAGCTAACTTCGTAATTCACAGTTAGCCCATCAAGGAGTAACAAAAATTAAGAGATGTTATATCTCAAAATATGAAGCAAATAAATGGCAGAAACGAATCAACAGAAATAGTTTGACATACCTCCAATTTATCCTCAGCAGACACATGGCTTATGGGAAGTGTACGAAATTCCTCTGTTAATCGAAAGCACTCCCCAACATTTTCAGGAGAAACAAAATCCAATGCAACTTTAATACATGACTGCAAAAGAAAGACAAATCATGCATTTACAGAGAACATTTAAATATTACTTTAAATAAAACTTATGAACAACAAAAAGCAAACTGATCGGAAGGGGACTAAAAAAAACTAGTTCAAACCTCAATGTTGCCATTGTATCAAATATCTAAAAGAAAAAGTATGAATTACGACGAAATTAAAGCAACCAAACTTTGATGTATCAACAGTTTCATTACCTTCACAGACTTGCTTGCTTTGCGAATCATGGACATGGGATTAATATCAACGAAACAATGAAATAATTTTATTAATATCAATCACACCAATTACAGTCTCAAGTTTTTTATTTGTAACAACTAATTTCTCAAAAATAAGGAAACAGAATATGTCAAAACAAATAGGAAAATTCTACTAAAGGTATCATCTCAATCAATATGAAGATATATTTGTGTACCAATTAACTACTATTTACAGCACTTCCACTCAAATCGGTAAAAGAATGTCATTCATACCCAACTTGCCAACAAATCTTGAAATATGTCCAAAAACACACTTTGGTGAAAACGTATATTGTCTTAAAAGGAACATTATTTGTAACCACAAAATCTCTTTATAGACTACCTTTAATTATGTGATTGTTAATTCCAATATGTTTTGATTATGAAATGTGGTAATAGATTATGGGCAAAGTTCATAGCTAACTTACTGCAACAATATAGCTGCATATGGACACCTGCCTTCATATTAAAGTCATCTTTTTAATGAATTCAACTTCCCTCACATGAATTGAGTCCAATGGTAACTTTTCATTGAACTGAGTCTACGTAGACTTGTGGGAAGATTACCCTTGACTAGTAGACTCATAACGGTCTAGTTCATAGAAAAGTTACACAAAAAATAAACATTCATGATACCAATTCCACAATGGTGTCAAAATCATACCCAATAACAAAAGAAAATCTGAAGGAGGCAAAGGGACACAAGCCCTGACAACAATGTGAGTTAACTGCAACAAGAACGCCTTTTAACTGCAACATTTAGTTGAAGTTTTTTTAAATTAAAAACACACTAACTTAGTTTTTGGTTGTGGAGAAAGTAGAAAAATTGGGGGATCAAACATACCCTGGCAACGCTATTATCCTCCTCAAACTGCAACTATTGGGCACATGGTTATCAAACTCTCGAGTTAACTCGGAAGTAAACTCGTTTTCTGCGTAAACTCACTAGAATAGACTGTGAAATCGGTCGGATCATGTTGGAGCGATTGTGCAAGCTTGAAAGTTATATATTTAATGAAATGCATCAAAGTTAATGACAATAATCCAAGTATTATGTTTTACAATATTTATTTTTATGAACAATATAATTATAAATTTTATTTATTTAAAGTTATATAATTTTGTAGACTTATTTGAATTAAGATATTATTTATATAATTTTTTTCATCTCAAGTAAACTCTAACAAGTTTACGAGTCGAATTTACTCAACTCTCACGAGTTTACATAAACTCTCGAATTTGATAACCTTGATTGGGCATCACAACTTTTCACTTTGATCTTCCTCGTCACAACATTCTGATTTCTTATCATAAGTTCTCTGTACAAAAGCTGGCGTACTTCATAAATGCAGCTCTTATTCTGAGTTTTTCTTTGACTAAAAATGTTTGCAGTTACAAGTTTCCCTCGTCAGTTGAAAAATATTTGCAAAACTCCCAAGACTTTAGGTAAACTCTTGAATTTAACAACCTTCATAGCAACAATGAAGATAAAACAAATTTATCCTGTATGTTCACTTTACCTTCAGATTTCTGACTTGGTGAGGACAGCCGGCTGGAATGAAAACAGCATCTCCAAGCTTCTGAACGAATGTCCAGGGCTCAATTCCTACAAGATACATAGCAGTGTATTTGGAGAGGAACAATTCAGACTTCTACCCAAAATCAAATACGAAAATTGGGTTACTAACCATACTCCTCCTTAAGCTTCTTCTTATGCTCCACGGTCAAATAGAATGTCTGGTCATGGATGGGGTGAATAACCTTCGATACCCGAGGATATGACCCGTTCAAGAAAAAATAAAGTTAAATCAGTACGTGAGGTAATTACAGCTGATGCATTATCTATATACAGGTATTGTCCGCCAAATACTTTAAAATAATTATTCACAACCACCATTCACCCAAGTCATATTGACATGTATTTAATGAAAATTTTATTACAAGAAAATGACGGAATGGGAGAATCCAACATTACAAGGGCGAAATCCTCCAATTATTACAAATATTAAAACTAAATAGATTTGTTATAAAACAAGCTTCACAAATGACTCAGGCTGAAAAATAATACCCAATACAGATTTACCTGCTCTACAGGACTGCAATGGATATGCCTAAACTCTCTAAAATGCTTCATCAGATACTCCTGCAATTTAGGTACATCCTGCCTCCGAAAAATATCCCACAGAGCACCTTCTGAACCATCCCCTGCAAACGACAAATCACTTTCTGGCCTCATTTTTACTTCGTCAACATTAGTTTCTCCATCGTGATCACTATGCAGTTCCTTCTTGTCTTGCTCAAAGTGCTTTAGTTTCAACTTGTCAATGGCACTAAGATGCTCAGGTTGCAATTCGAGTTCAGCAATATGAGTCAACACATTTACCTAGAACAGTCAATTTATACAAAAGGGAAAAAATACTTTAATTTCACCATTAATGCGTATGCAACCAAGAACGTACAGCAATAAACACAAAACACAAACAAATACATTTGATGAGGAAAAGTTACTAGCATATATATCTGATCGAAATGCATCGTTTATCTGAAATTCTTCCAAATACAAAAGTGTACTGATTCTTGATGTGAATTGAAACGAGAATCATCTTACTCCACTCATAAGATTCCAAACAGATAAATTAAATGGATTATGAAATACAAAAATGAATACATCCTACAAACTAGCACTTACAAACATGAAACACTATCGGAAAAAAACACCCTTAAATCTTCAAATAATTTAGAATAAATCCTTGAAAATAGCAGATCAGGAAAGGAAATAGAACATACAGCATCGGACATATCACAGTGGAGCTTAGTCACTGAGTCACCACGTCCAAGCTCATGGGGAAATCCATAAGCAATGTATGTCTTTGGCCCCATGTCTGGCTTTGGACAATCTTTAGCAAATTTAACAGCTATGTTAAGGCAACCCCCAAAAGGATCAGTATATTCCTTGAATGGTAAAGAAGATATGAACTCAGCAAAATGTCTAGGCAAGCGTTCCTCAAATAAATTAGAAGGTGGGCAGTCTTTTAACTTCAATATCCGAGGCCAATGAAGCCAATCCCCAAAAGCTTTCGTATACCCAGTAAAGAATTGGTGCATCTTAATTTCTACCTGGATTTAACCAACAACTCATAAAAATGCAAAAATCAGCAGCAACAGAATATCACAAATGTCAAGTAAATGCAGTAAAGAATCGCAGAATCGGTAAAATAAAGCAGACACCACTTACTTGAGTCTGATTACAAAATTTGAAAAGAGCAAGAAAATTAAAATAAACATTACACAGGATCAACTAGATCTTGTAGCAGGGATTAAAAAGCCGACAATAAAATAATAAAACACGGTGCATAGGCAACAGAAAAAGGTCTGTTAGGAAAAGAAAATAAACATAAGGGAAGGGTCCAAAATAAAGCAAGCAACAATTATTAAAAGCATGTGACTAATATATTAACTACACTCACAAAAATGAACTTTTATTTACCCCCCTAATGTGTGTTCTAATCACCCACATTCAACCTAGGACTGGCGTATCTTTATTACCCGGAAAACAGAACATCAATAATTGGTTTCTTTTAGTTGAACTATCCACCAAAATATCGCAATTTTTAAACTTTGGAAAGTATTTTTTGAACATTCAAGAAAAGACACAAAATAGAGAAACGGGTGAAGTTACCAAATTCAAGAAATTCAACGTAAATTTGCCATAATTAAATTAATCTCTATCAACCCTTTGAAGCCTAGTGGTTCCAGGTAAAATAAGCACCAATATTAAATAATTTAAACATCAATTTCATGGGAGGGAATAACAAATTTTAAGAAAAATCACTCCGGCAAACAAAGTTAAACAAACCTCGCAGAAATCTAAGCAATCAATTGCCTTTACATATAAATGTTGTTCACGTTTGGTATTATTCATCTGACGCAATGCACGCCACATGACAAGCGGTTCCCAGCTTAAACCAGATGTACAATCAAACACATGGCTAACAATGACAGGCTCCCCCTTTTCCCAATGCCACTGAAAATGCCCTAAATCCTTATCCTGTAGTTGTACAGCCTTAGGACAGTACAAATAATTGTCACCAGAATCTGCACGGGATGCAGCCATCCTCATACCATAATTTGCGCTTCTATCAGGCCTTGAACACAAACAGAATTTGTCAGGGGTCTCATGCTTGAATGTTTGTTCCAGTCCATTTGCTTTACACAATAAATCAGCAATAAAATGTTGACCTAATACAGTTCTCAGTTCAAGAAAACCATGGTTACATTCTTTTGGACAAGGAATGCTACCATTACTATCTGCATGCCATCCAGCTCTTGACCATTCGCGAATTAGAGGCTTAGCAGCAGCATTTGATTCTGTTTGGTTTACCGTTTTATCTACATTTCCACCATGCAAGTAATCACGACCTCTGAATGGAAACTCCAACGTAATTGGATCTGCACCCCCTACAAGCTGACCACTACGAAGTTCACGGCAACAGATAAGACAAAGATAGAAAGAACATTCCGTACAGCTTCTGTGGTAATCAAATATTGAAATTTTGCAATTGTCACTGCAAGAGAGTGTTAAGTTAATAAATAAAGATACAAGGATAATTGGGAAAAAGAAAATAAGATGCGAGAGAAAGATACCAACCAATATACACGTTCATCCTTATAATAATCTGTGTGTACTACTTCAAGCTCTGAGACTGAGATTCCTATAGTGCACATCCAAACAGCAAATTATATAATGCAAATATATGGAACTTGTACTAAACTCTGACTAGAGCATAAGATGAAAGGCAAACTTAAAGCTTATCAATTATTACAAAACAGATAATTCTTTCTCGTTTGCAAGTCAGAATTCATTGCANGACCATTCGCGAATTAGAGGCTTAGCAGCAGCATTTGATTCTGTTTGGTTTACCGTTTTATCTACATTTCCACCATGCAAGTAATCACGACCTCTGAATGGAAACTCCAACGTAATTGGATCTGCACCCCCTACAAGCTGACCACTACGAAGTTCACGGCAACAGATAAGACAAAGATAGAAAGAACATTCCGTACAGCTTCTGTGGTAATCAAATATTGAAATTTTGCAATTGTCACTGCAAGAGAGTGTTAAGTTAATAAATAAAGATACAAGGATAATTGGGAAAAAGAAAATAAGATGCGAGAGAAAGATACCAACCAATATACACGTTCATCCTTATAATAATCTGTGTGTACTACTTCAAGCTCTGAGACTGAGATTCCTATAGTGCACATCCAAACAGCAAATTATATAATGCAAATATATGGAACTTGTACTAAACTCTGACTAGAGCATAAGATGAAAGGCAAACTTAAAGCTTATCAATTATTACAAAACAGATAATTCTTTCTCGTTTGCAACTCAGAATTCATTGCAAAGAGATGTGTGGCTTCATGATATACAAAAAATTGGTTTAGTTGTGAGTATCTTAATGCGTTGGATGGAACAAACATGCAAGAACAAATCCTGTCTTCTTCTGCATCAAATTCATTTGTTTTGTGAGAAACATTGATTCACATAATAGTAACCAAAATCAACACTTGTTATGTAAAAATACCCTGTATCTTAGCTTCTGTCTCATTCTCAATCCTTTGCTCTTCATCCAACAATCTTAAATACGGAAGAAGTACTTGCAGCAAACACATAGAGATTTCAACCTTCTCATCTTTATTGGTGCTGGTTTTTGCCTTCATTTTCTACAGCAACCAAAGTGACACCATTTTAAATGCTGAACTCAGAAAAGATGAAGACACTTGAAGGGGGAAGACCTAACTTTAATAAGTACATCAGATCGCAAGCATGCTTTGCAGTTGCAATTACCACGGCACACGGGACATTCCTCTGCAATGCAATCCTCTTTCAAATGAGGATACCTAAACACACAGAAAACACTTCAAGGATTAACAGTTGGTCACGTTATCATCATTCAAAACCAAAACTACAAAATATTTGCAATAACTGATCCAGAAATTGGTTTGGGAATTGTTTCTTTCTACTAAAGTCATTTCCCCCTAACATAGGAAAGGGGACCATATTAGACATATATTACGTAACTTCTGGAAATTCCCCATAGAAAGCATTAACATATGGGTAAACAATGGACATGCCATTTATACATCGGCTTGTCATTTCAAGTCTTTCAAATAATGTGCTTAAAATCTTACAGAACAAAGAATATGTCAGTAACACCGACTTGGTAGCTGGCAATGCAGTGATAACGGAGAAATAAACCTCGTATTGATCTTACCGAACCAACCAAGGCATGCTATACAATATCATTATATTACAATTTAAATAGAGAGAATAAATAAATTTCATAGTGAGACGGAGTTATACCAATTTTGAATACAGGGAATGCAAAATCTTTTGCTTTTGCAATTTGTGCACCTCACAACCCTGCCTTTATCATTTCTCTGGCATTGATGGCACATTTTGGATTCATATTCAATAAACTGTTGATTGACAAACAGAAATACCATCTCAAATGTGAGCTAAAACATGTTTGTATGAAAAGCTAAACCCAAACAAACATAAGTACTTTTTATTAAATAATAAATCACTTCACCTCCTTATCCCTCTTATTCTTTTTCGGCATCACAACTTCTATTTTGACTTTACGGCTTTTAAAATTATGTTGTTTCCGAATGTCACTTCCACTTCCCGAAAAACCGGCAGGCATTTCAAACTCACCGTCACCTTCCTTAACAACTTTTCTTTTCCTCCCAAGTCTTTTCCTGCTATTTTCACCATTTTTCTCCAACAAATTTTCCCCCAACAACTTCATTTCCATCTCCTCCTTTTCCTTTTTACTCTTTCTTCCACGCTTCTTTTTCACACCTTGATCAGAGGTAGAAAATCCAACCCCCCCATTTTCACCTTCCTTAACAACTTTTGTCTTCCTCCCAAGTCTCTTCTCATGAAGCTCGTCATTTCCCCCATCTTTCACGCCTTCTTGAAGAGGAGAAGAACCACCTACCCCATCCCTTTCACCGTGGCTAACATCTCGACCACCCTTCTTCTCCAGCAAATTGCCCTCTGACATCTTCTTGTTCATGTCTTTCCTTTCCTTTCTCACACCTTGAAAAGAAGAACATCCGACCCTGCTATTTTCAGCATTTTTCTCCAATAAATTTTCCCCCAACAACTTCCTTTCCATCTTCTCCTTTTCCTTTTTTCTCTTTCTGCCACGCTTCTTCTTCTCACCTTGATCAGAGGTAGAAACTCCAACCCCACCATTTTCACCATGGTTTTCGTCTTGAGCGCTGTTCTTCTCGGACAAACTGCCCTTGGACATCGTTGTCTTGCGCTTCTTTTCACTTCTTCTGCCACGTTTTCTTTTCACACCATCATCAACTGTTTCAGTAAAGTTGATTGCTTTCCTCTGATCAGCCTCACACTCGGCATTAAAATCCAAAGATTGAATATTTTGCTGGGTGGGGTTTGAATCGACCGGAATGGTGACTGTATTTCCTCGTCGCCTTTTCCCTTTGCCCGCCATAAAGTAGATGGTATCAAATTTTTTCAGTGTCTTGGCAAAATATAAATTACCAAGATTGAGAATCACTAACGAAAAGTGATAATGATTGAATTAAAACCAGTTTGAACCCTAACTATCTGCCTTTTACTGTCTGCATTTTATTTCAGTTATGCTACACGCTCCAACAGTACCTAGATTATTAAGATTTTACATGGAAATGATAAATAAAAAAGACAAAGGGCAGGTAGAATTTTCAAAACCCGCGCCAAAATTAAAGCTTTAGGAAATGCTCTCCAAATTTAATCAACTAATTAATCAGAAAATTAAGATTTCAATGGAAAAGCATTTTTTTTCTAATATTTAGATTACACACTATTACATATTACTGAAATATAACACCATAATCCTAAATAAAAGTTTTCATGGATTTAAGTTGTGAAAAAAAAAACTATTTATTTTATGTTTTCATTTTTCCTTAAAGTACTTATAAATTTTCACGTACAAAATCTAAATTTTACATCAAACTTATCACTTAAATATAAGCACTTCAATTACTTCATTTTAAAATTAACTTGGTTGAAGGCTATTTTTAAACTCTAAAATTTTCTTTTAGTGTGTTCACTTTACATGATTGATTTGAAAGAAAGTAAGTGGATGAATTTAAAGAGATTTTAGAGTGAATTGATTTTGTTTTCTTGAGAGAATTTGAATGTGAGTGAGAGTGAATTTGGTCTTAAAGTTTGTGAAAATTAGTCTACGATTTGACCGATATAAGATAAAAAAAATTATTTTATTGATAGAAATTAAATATTATCAAAATGCCTTTAATTATAAAAATAATATAAAATGATAATTATTAATGATATATATAATTGTAAAAATGTTTATAAGAAGAAAAAAAATAAAAATTAATTTTTAAAATGTAAAAAATGATAATTTAGTAAAATAAAATAATAATAATAATAATTTATATTTTATTAAGTTAAATTTAATTAAAATTAACATTAATTTATATTTTATAAGGTTAAATTTAATTAAAATTGAATTTTAATTTATCTTTAATTTAATTTATATTATATATATATATATATATTTTTTAATCTTATTTAAATTGTATTTTAATAATTTTTAAAATATTTGTAAGTATATACCGTGCTAATAACAAATCAGATAACCAGTGAATTTATTTTTTTCAAATCAGGTTAAGAGTAAATACTGTTCGTGCCCAACATGACTCATGTGCATTTATCAGCACTCCCAACATTGTACTACATGATGTGTTAAGATAACAACTACAATATAATGTAAACTATGAAAAGTAACATCAAGCTTTTGAAGATTCACATGTTCACATCCATTGTGTTGCATCCTTACCCTGCTTTAATGCACAGGAGAATACGTATGCAAAAAGGCAATAGTTTATTCTGAACCTTAATTCTTTGTTTTTTTAATTAAAATTGAATGTAGAAAATGTGCAAGAGTTCTATTATATGAAAGCAAATAAATTTATCATATTATATAAATAATTAATCCACCATCATCTTTAAAAAGCTTTAGATTCAGAGTACATTTTGTATATCTTCGCACCCTGTTCTAACATAATGCAACACAACTTAAAATAGGTGATTCATTCTGCTCCTCAGATGCTACGTGTTAAAAAATGAGTAAAATTAATAATCATACGTTACAATGTTATTTTTATTTCAATACGTGTTCCATAACAAAAATAGAGAACAGTTTTATGTATAATTGTTAATGTTTCAAAATAATACGTAAACATTGGAACGGTCTAAATACGAATGACACAGTAGATTTAGTAATCTAACATAATATTTATATTACCTCTGGTTGCATTCTTCAGAATACAATTAAATGGCATTTAAGAGTTGGTAATAGGAAACAGAACATCTATAGAAGATACAAGCTAGATGTGAAAGCTAGGTTTACAAGTCGTATTATGGTAACCAAAAACAACCTTCCCCGGCGTGGTTGAAACAACAAAATATGGAACCATTCTTACAGTCACGAATGAGCCAATGACCCAAAATTTATTATTCCACCTCCTCCTCCTAGTTGTCTGTTAAGGGAATATTTACTTTCATCCTGTAAATTGAACAGTAATCAATTTGAAGAATGATAAGTGAATCAAGAGCCTAAAAAACATAATCAGAATGGCACAGTAATCAAGAAATAATCTAACAATGTACTCAGTAAATGTAAGTATACAGCCCATTTCAAAGGGCCTGAAGGTTGGAATTACTAACCTTGCAGTCTCCAATTTTGTTACCACATCTTGCATAGCATATATTATCATCTTTTTCACCTGCTTCAAAAGAAGTAATCAAGGAGAAAAGTAACATAAATATACAGCACAAAGCTGTTGACATAACAATGCAAAGTTCATTTCTTGATGCATTTGAAAAAATTAACTGTAGAATTTATCATATTTGCTAGTCATGTGTTTGGTTCTGAGAAGTTAATATGAAAAGAAATAAAGACAACATTTCAGTACAAACATCTACACAAACATTCTCCTGGAAAAACAGTAAACTAACATCATCCTTCAAGTCTATCAAAACTTATTGCAAATATCACTGAAGCTAACTTCGTAATTCACAGCTAGCCCATCAAGGAGTAACAAAAATTAAGAGATGTTATATCTCAAAATATGAACCAAATAAATGGCAGAAACGAATCAATAGAAATAGTTTGACATACCTCCAATTTATCCTCAGCAGACACATGGCTTATGGGAAGTGTACGAAATTCCTCTGTTAATCGAAAGCACTCCCCAACATTTTCAGGAGAAACAAAATCCAATGCAACCTTAATACATGACTGAAAAGAAAGACATATCATGCATTTACAGAGAACATTTAAATATTACTTTCAATAAAACTTATGAACAACAAAAAGCAAACTTATCGGAAGGAGATTAAAAAAAACAACTAATTCAAACCTCAATGTTGCCATTGTATCAAATATCTAAAAGAAAAAGTATGAATTACGACGAAATTAAAGCAACCAAAATTTGATGTATCAACAGTTTCATTACCTTCACAGACTTGCTTGCTTTACGAATCATGGACATGGGATTAATATCAACGAAACAATGAAATAATTTTATTAATATCAATCACATCAATTACAGTCTCAACTCTACTATTTGTAAAATTTAATTTCTCAAAAATAAGGAAACAAAATATGTCGAAACAAAAAGGAAAATTCTAAAGATATCATCCCAATCAATATGAAGATATATTTGTGTACCAATTAACTGCTATTTACAACACTTCCACTCAAATTGGTAAATGAATGTCATTCGTACCCAACTTGCCCATAAATCTTGAAATATGTTCAAAAATACACTTTGGCGAAAACTTATATTATCTGAAGTCCTAAAGGAACATTAGTTATAACCACAAAATCTCTATATAGACTACCTTCAATTATATGACTGTTAATTCTTATATGTTTGATTATGACATGTTGTAATAGATTATGGGCACAGTTCATAGCTAACTTACTGCCACAATATAGCTGCATATGGACACCTGCCTTGATATTAAGGTTATCTTTTTAATGAATTCAACTTCCCTCACAGGAATTGAGTCCAATGTTCACTTTTCATGACTTCCAAGACTAAGCTAAGAATTTTCTGGCAACTTACCACCTAATCCAACAACTGTAATTGGAACATATTGAGGAATAATTTCCTTTCTCAAATACCACGTAACTCCTAGTCCAACAATTCTAATTGTAACATTGTCAAAAGTGGGTTGATTCCTTTTTGATGTTTTCCTGCCAAAGAATTTGACTTTCTCGTTGAGTTTGTTCTATTATCTTGGGGATCCTGCAAATACAAACATGGCAACGGCAGGAGGGAAGAATACTTCACCTTAGGCGTTTTATCCTAAAGCTATTGGTGAACAGATTCTATTTCATGAAAACTAACATCCGTGTTGATAAAAACTCAACAAGTACAAGGGTGATGACGACATTTGTACCATTTTTGTTAGACAAATAGCCAAGGTTATTGAACTGTGTCTACGTAGACTTGTGGGAAGATTGCCCTTGACTAGTAGACTCACAAGGGTCCAGTTCCCAGGAAAATTACACAAAAAAATAAACATTCATGATAACAAAAGAAAATGTAATTACAAATGTAATGGACAAAATTTAACTTCGCTGTTGAGCATACAATTTGATCGCCATTGAGAACAACAGACTGTTGAGTTTTAATGTTCATTACTGTCTTTTTTTGTTATTTTATACAACTTAAAAAATTTCCAGCTTTCTATTAAAGTTACATACTTCATATTCTATCATAAGATTCATGATATTCAGTTTTATTACAACCCCAAATTTATATACTACCTGGTGCTTCTCACTTCCCCAGTTAGCTGATACTAATCACATTTTTTATTTGCTGAAATAGAAATTCTTAACACAAATTCTTACATAGGTTTACATTAATATTTCAGTACAATTTACTTTGGAATGTCAGAGTGTACAACAGGATCAAACTCAACTGATGGCACTGCAGATGTCTCCGCAAATACTAGAAACTAGAAGTAAAAATGTTCCCTTTATTTGACGTTGTTTAAACTTAATTAGTAATAATTTACTACTAGATTTCTTTCAATGTTATTGGGATTCACTATTTTTCATTATTATAAAATTTAAATATTGAACTTATAATATAAGTATTTTAATAATTTTTTATGATGTAGGAGTCCAGCTAGCAAAACTCCCAAGACTTTAGGTAAGCTCTTGAATTTAACAACCTTCACAGCAACAATGAAGATAAAACAAATTTACCCTGTATGTTCATTTTACCTTCAGATTTCTGACTTGGTGAGGACAGCCAGCTGGAATGAAAACAGCATCTCCAAGCTTCTGAACGAATGTCCAGGGCTCAATTCCTACATGATACATAGCAGTGAATTTGGAGAGGAACAATTCCAACTTCTACCCAAAATCAAAATACAGAAATTGTGTTACTAACCATACTCCTCCTTAAGCTTCCTCTTATGCTCCACGGTCAAATAGAATGTCTGATCATGGATCGGGTGAATAACCTTCCATACCGGAGGATATGAACCGTTCAAGAAAAAATAAAGTCAAATGAGTAGGTGAGGAAATCACAGCTGATGCACTTTATGTATACAACAGGTATTGTCCGCCAATATACTTTAAAATAATTATTCACCCAATCCATAAGGACAAGCATTTAATGAAAATTTTATTACAAGAAAATGAGGGAATGGGAGAATCCAAAGTTACAAGGGTGAAATCCTCCAATTATTACAAATATTAACTAAATCTATTTGTTATGAACCAAGCTTCACAAATAACTCAGGCTGAAAAATAATACCCAATATTGATTTACCTGCTCTAAAGGACTGCAATGGATATGCCTAAACTCTCTAAAATGCTTCCTCAGGTACTCCTGCAATTTAGGTACATCCTGCCTCCGAAAGATATCCCACAGAGCACCTTCCGAACCATCCCCTGCAAAGGATGAATCACTTTCAGGCACCGATTTTACTTCGTCAACATTAGTTTCTCCATCGCGGTCACTAAGCAGCTCCCTCTTGTCTTGCTCAAAGTGCTGTAGTTTCAACTTGTCAATGGCACTAAGATGCTCGGGATCCAATTTGAGTTCAGCAATATGAGTCAACACATTTACCTAGAACAGTCAAGTTATACAAAAGGGAAAAAATACTTTAATTTCACAACCAAGAACGTATAGCAATAAACACAAAACACTGACAAATACATTTGATGAGGAAAAGTTAATAGCATATATATATCTGATCCAAATGCACCGCTTATCTGAAATTCTTCCAAATACAAAAGTTTACTGATTCATGATGTGAATTGAAACAACAATCTTCTTACACCACTCATAAGAATCCAAACAGATAAATTAAATGGATTATGAAATACAACAATGAATACATCCTAAGAACTATGCACTTTGAAACGTAAGACACAATCGGAAAAAAACACCCTTAAATCTTCAAATAATTTAGAATAAATCCTTGAAAATAGCAGATCTGGAAGGAGAAAAGGAAATAGAACATACTGCATCGGACATGTCACAGTGGAGCTTAGTCACTGAGTCCCCGCGTCCAAGCTCCTGGGGAAATCCATAAGCAATGTATGTCTTTGGCCCCATGTCTGGCTTTAGACACTCTTTAGGCAATTTAACAGCTATGTTAAGACAACCACCAAGAGGATCAGTATATTCCTTGAATGGTAAGGAAGATATGAACTCAGCACAATGTCTAGGCAAGCGTTCCTCAAATAAATTAGAAGGCGGCCAGTCTTTTAACTTCAATATCCGAGGCCAATGAAGCCAATCCCCAAAAGCTTTCGTATACCCAGTAAAGAATTGGTGGATGTTAATTTCTACCTGGATTTAACCAACAACTCATAAAAATGCAGAAATCGACAGCAACAGAATATAACAAATGTCCAGTAGAAGCAGTCAAGAATGCAGAATCGGTAAAATAAAGCAGAAGCCACTTACTTGAGTCTGATTACAAAATTTGAAAAGAATAAGAAAATTAAAATAAACATTACACAGCATAAACAAGATCTCGTGGCAGGGGTTAAAAGCAGACAATGATAATAACAAAACATGGTGCATAGGCAACAGGAAAGGGTCTGTTAGGATATATTAGTCACATGCTTTTAATATATAAAGCAAGCAACAAGTATTAAAAGCATCTGACTAATATATTAACTACACTCACAAAAATGAACTTTTAATTACCACCCTAATGTGTGTTCTAATGACCCACATTCGACCTTGGACTGGCGTCTCTTTATGACCCGGACAACAGAACATCAATAATTCGTTCCTTTAGTGGAACTATCCACAAAAATATCGTAATTTTTAGGTACGTTGCAAAATATTTTTTGAACATTCGGCTCAGACAAGTTCTTGGAAGTCAGCAATTGACAATATTAAATGCACAGAAATAAGACAAAATCAAGAAAAGGGTGAAGTTACCAAATTCAAGAAATTCAACGTAAATTTGCCATAAAAAATAGTCTCTATCAACCCTTTGAAGCCTAGTGGTTCCAGGTAAAATAAGTACCAATATTAAATAATTTAAACATAAACTTCATGGGAGTGAATAACAATTTTTGAGAAAGAATCACTCCGGTGAACAAAAGTTAAACAAACCTCGCAGAAATCTAAGCAATCAATTGCCTTTACATCTAAATGTTGCTCATGTTTGGTATTATTCATCTGACGGAATGCACGCCACATGACAAGTGGTTCCCAGCTTAAACCAGATGTACAATCAATCACATGGCTAACAATGACAGGCTCGCCCTTTTCCCAATGCCACTGAAAATGCCCTAAATCCTCATCCTGTAGTTGTACAGAGTTAGGACAGTACAAATAATTGTCACCAGAATCTGCACGGGATGCAGCCTTCCTCATACCATAATTTGCGCTAGTATCAGGCCTTGAACACAAACACAATTTGTCAGGGGTCTCATGCTTCAATGTTTGTGCCAGTCCATTTGCTTTACACAATAAATTAGTAATAAAATTTTGACCTAACACACTTTTAAGTTCAAGAAAACCATGGTTACATTCTTTTGGACAAGGAATGCTACCATTACTTTCTGCATGCCATACAGCTCTAGACCAGTCGCGAATTAGAGGCTTAGCAGCATCATTTGGTTCAGTTAGGTTTACCGTTTTATCTACAATTTTTCCATGCAAGTAATCACGACCTCTGAACGGAAACTCCAACGTAATTGGATCTGCACCCCCCACAAGCTGACCACTACGAAGTTCACGGCAACACATGAGACAAAGATCAAAAGAGCATTCTGTACAGCTTCTGTGGTAATCAAATATTGATGTTTTGCAATTGTCACTGCAAGAGAGTGTTAAGTTAATAAATAAAATATACCAGGATAATTGGAAAAAAGNTTTCCCCCAACAACTTCCTTTCCATCTCCTCCTTTTCCTTTTTTCTCTTTCTGCCACGCTTCTTCTTCACACCTTGATCAGAGGTAGAAACTCCAACCCCACCATTTTCACCATGGTTTTCGTCTTGAGCGCTGTTCTTCTCGGACAAACTGCCCTTGGACATCGTTGTCTTGCGCTTCTTTTCACTTCTTCTGCCACGTTTTCTTTTCACACCATCATCAACTGTTTCAGTAAAGTTGATTGCTTTCCTCTGATCAGCCTCACACTCGGCATTAAAATCCAAAGATTGAATATTTTGCTGGGTGGGGTTTGAATCGACCGGAATGGTGACTGTATTTCCTCGTCGCCTTTTCCCTTTGCCCGCCATAAAGTAGACGGTATCAAATTTTTTCAGTGTCTTGGCAAAATATAAATAACCAAGATTGAGAATCACTAACGAAAAGTGATAAAGATTGAATTAAAACCAGTTTGAACCCTAACTATCTGCCTTTCACTGTCTGCATTCTATTTCAGTTATGCTACACGCTCCAACAGTACCTAGATTATTAAGATTTTACATGGAAATGATAAATAAAAAAGACAAAGGGCAGGGAGAATTTTCAAAACCCGCGCCAAAATTAAAGCTTTAGGAAATGCTCTCCAAATTTAATCAACTAATTAATCAGAAAATTAAGATTTCAATGGAAAAGCATTTTTTTTCTAATATTTAGATTACACACTATTACATATTACTGAAATATAACACCATAATCCTAAATAAAAGTTTTCATGGATTTAAGTTGTGAAAAAAAAAACTATTTATTTTATGTTTTCATTTTTCCTTAAAGTACTTATAAATTTTCACGTACAAAATCTAAATTTTACATCAAACTTATCACTTAAATATAAGCACTTCAATTACTTCATTTTAAAATTAACTTGGTTGAAGGCTATTTTTAAACTCTAAAATTTTCTTTTAGTGTGTTCACTTTACATGATTGATTTGAAAGAAAGTAAGTGGATGAATTTAAAGAGATTTTAGAGTGAATTGATTTTGTTTTCTTGAGAGAATTTGAATGTGAGTGAGAGTGAATTTGGTCTTAAAGTTTGTGAAAATTAGTCTACGATTTGACCGATATAAGATAAAAAAAATTATTTTATTGATAGAAATTAAATATTATCAAAATGCCTTTAATTATAAAAATAATATAAAATGATAATTATTAATGATATATATAATTGTAAAAATGTTTATAAGAAGAAAAAAAATAAAAATTAATTTTTAAAATGTAAAAAATGATAATTTAGTAAAATAAAATAATAATAATAATAATTTATATTTTATTAAGTTAAATTTAATTAAAATTAACATTAATTTATATTTTATAAGGTTAAATTTAATTAAAATTGAATTTTAATTTATCTTTAATTTAATTTATATTATATATATATATATATATTTTTTAATCTTATTTAAATTGTATTTTAATAATTTTTAAAATATTTGTAAGTATATACCGTGCTAATAACAAATCAGATAACCAGTGAATTTATTTTTTTCAAATCAGGTTAAGAGTAAATACTGTTCGTGCCCAACATGACTCATGTGCATTTATCAGCACTCCCAACATTGTACTACATGATGTGTTAAGATAACAACTACAATATAATGTAAACTATGAAAAGTAACATCAAGCTTTTGAAGATTCACATGTTCACATCCATTGTGTTGCATCCTTACCCTGCTTTAATGCACAGGAGAATACGTATGCAAAAAGGCAATAGTTTATTCTGAACCTTAATTCTTTGTTTTTTTAATTAAAATTGAATGTAGAAAATGTGCAAGAGTTCTATTATATGAAAGCAAATAAATTTATCATATTATATAAATAATTAATCCACCATCATCTTTAAAAAGCTTTAGATTCAGAGTACATTTTGTATATCTTCGCACCCTGTTCTAACATAATGCAACACAACTTAAAATAGGTGATTCATTCTGCTCCTCAGATGCTACGTGTTAAAAAATGAGTAAAATTAATAATCATACGTTACAATGTTATTTTTATTTCAATACGTGTTCCATAACAAAAATAGAGAACAGTTTTATGTATAATTGTTAATGTTTCAAAATAATACGTAAACATTGGAACGGTCTAAATACGAATGACACAGTAGATTTAGTAATCTAACATAATATTTATATTACCTCTGGTTGCATTCTTCAGAATACAATTAAATGGCATTTAAGAGTTGGTAATAGGAAACAGAACATCTATAGAAGATACAAGCTAGATGTGAAAGCTAGGTTTACAAGTCGTATTATGGTAACCAAAAACAACCTTCCCCGGCGTGGTTGAAACAACAAAATATGGAACCATTCTTACAGTCACGAATGAGCCAATGACCCAAAATTTATTATTCCACCTCCTCCTCCTAGTTGTCTGTTAAGGGAATATTTACTTTCATCCTGTAAATTGAACAGTAATCAATTTGAAGAATGATAAGTGAATCAAGAGCCTAAAAAACATAATCAGAATGGCACAGTAATCAAGAAATAATCTAACAATGTACTCAGTAAATGTAAGTATACAGCCCATTTCAAAGGGCCTGAAGGTTGGAATTACTAACCTTGCAGTCTCCAATTTTGTTACCACATCTTGCATAGCATATATTATCATCTTTTTCACCTGCTTCAAAAGAAGTAATCAAGGAGAAAAGTAACATAAATATACAGCACAAAGCTGTTGACATAACAATGCAAAGTTCATTTCTTGATGCATTTGAAAAAATTAACTGTAGAATTTATCATATTTGCTAGTCATGTGTTTGGTTCTGAGAAGTTAATATGAAAAGAAATAAAGACAACATTTCAGTACAAACATCTACACAAACATTCTCCTGGAAAAACAGTAAACTAACATCATCCTTCAAGTCTATCAAAACTTATTGCAAATATCACTGAAGCTAACTTCGTAATTCACAGCTAGCCCATCAAGGAGTAACAAAAATTAAGAGATGTTATATCTCAAAATATGAACCAAATAAATGGCAGAAACGAATCAATAGAAATAGTTTGACATACCTCCAATTTATCCTCAGCAGACACATGGCTTATGGGAAGTGTACGAAATTCCTCTGTTAATCGAAAGCACTCCCCAACATTTTCAGGAGAAACAAAATCCAATGCAACCTTAATACATGACTGAAAAGAAAGACATATCATGCATTTACAGAGAACATTTAAATATTACTTTCAATAAAACTTATGAACAACAAAAAGCAAACTTATCGGAAGGAGATTAAAAAAAACAACTAATTCAAACCTCAATGTTGCCATTGTATCAAATATCTAAAAGAAAAAGTATGAATTACGACGAAATTAAAGCAACCAAAATTTGATGTATCAACAGTTTCATTACCTTCACAGACTTGCTTGCTTTACGAATCATGGACATGGGATTAATATCAACGAAACAATGAAATAATTTTATTAATATCAATCACATCAATTACAGTCTCAACTCTACTATTTGTAAAATTTAATTTCTCAAAAATAAGGAAACAAAATATGTCGAAACAAAAAGGAAAATTCTAAAGATATCATCCCAATCAATATGAAGATATATTTGTGTACCAATTAACTGCTATTTACAACACTTCCACTCAAATTGGTAAATGAATGTCATTCGTACCCAACTTGCCCATAAATCTTGAAATATGTTCAAAAATACACTTTGGCGAAAACTTATATTATCTGAAGTCCTAAAGGAACATTAGTTATAACCACAAAATCTCTATATAGACTACCTTCAATTATATGACTGTTAATTCTTATATGTTTGATTATGACATTTTGTAATAGATTATGGGCATAGTTCATAGCTAACTTACTGCCACAATATAGCTGCATATGGACACCTGCCTTGATATTAAGGTTATCTTTTTAATGAATTCAACTTCCCTCACAGGAATTGAGTCCAATGTTCACTTTTCATGACTTCCAAGACTAAGCTAAGAATTTTCTGGCAACTTACCACCTAATCCAACAACTGTAATTGGAACATATTGAGGAATAATTTCCTTTCTCAAATACCACGTAACTCCTAGTCCAACAATTCTAATTGTAACATTGTCAAAAGTGGGTTGATTCCTTTTTGATGTTTTCCTGCCAAAGAATTTGACTTTCTCGTTGAGTTTGTTCTATTATCTTGGGGATCCTGCAAATACAAACATGGCAACGGCAGGAGGGAAGAATACTTCACCTTAGGTGTTTTATCCTAAAGCTATTGGTGAACAGATTCTATTTCATGAAAACTAACATCCGTGTTGATAAAAACTCAACAAGTAAAAGGTTGATGATGACATTTGTACCATTTTTGTTAGACAAATAGCCAAGGTTATTGAACTGTGTCTACGTAGACTTGTGGGAAGATTTCCCTTGACTAGTAGACTCACAAGGGTCCAGTTCCCAGGAAAATTACACAAAAAAATAAACATTCATGATAACAAAAGAAAATGTAATTACAAATGTAATGGACAAAATTTATCTTCGCTGTTGAGCACACAATTTGATCGCCATCGAGAACAACCGACTGTTGAGTTTTAATGTTCATTACTGTCTTTTTTTGTTATTTTATACAACTTAAAAAATTTCCAGCTTTCTATTAAAGTTACATACTTCATATTCTATCATAAGATTCATGATATTCAGTTTTATTACAACCCCAAATTTATATACTACCTGGTGCTTCTCACTTCCCCAGTTAGCTGATACTAATCACATTTTTTATTTGCTGAAATAGTAATTCTTAACACAAATTCTTATATAGGTTTACATTAATATTTCAGTACTATTTACTTTGGAATGTCAGAGTGTACAACAGGATCAAACTCAACTGATGGCACTGCAGATGTCTCCGCAAATACTAGAAACTAGAAGTAAAAAGTTCCCTTTATTTGACGTTGTTTAAACTTAATTAGTAATAATTTACTACTAGATTTCTTTCAATGTTATTGGGATTCACTATTTTTCATTATTATAAAATTTAAATATTGAACTTATAATATAAGTATTTTAATAATTTTTTATATGATGCAGGAGTCCAGCTAGAAAAACTACCAAGAATTTAGGTAAGCTCTTGAATTTAACAACCTTCACAGCAACAATGAAGATAAAACAAATTTACCCTGTTTGTTCATTTTACCTTCAGATTTCTGACTTGGTGAGGACAGCCTGCTGGAATGAAAACAGCATCTCCAAGCTTCTGAACGAATGTCCAGGGCTCAATTCCTACATGATACATAGCAGTGAATTTGGAGAGGAACAATTCCAACTTCTACCCAAAATCAAAATACAGAAATTGTGTTACTAACCATACTCCTCCTTAAGCTTCCTCTTATGCTCCACGGTCAAATAGAATGTCTGTTCATGGATCGGGTGAATAACCTTCCATACCGGAGGATATGAACCGTTCAAGAAAAAATAAAGTCAAATGAGTAGGTGAGGAAATCACAGCTGATGCACTTTATGTATACAACAGGTATTGCCCGCCAATATACTTTAAAATAATTATTCACCCAATCCATAAGGACAAGCATTTAATGAAAATTTTATTACAAGAAAATGAGGGAATGGGAGAATCCAAAGTTACAAGGGTGAAATCCTCCAATTATTACAAATATTAACTAAATCTATTTGTTATGAACCAAGCTTCACAAATAACTCAGGCTGAAAAATAATACCCAATATTGATTTACCTGCTCTAAAGGACTGCAATGGATATGCCTAAACTCTCTAAAATGCTTCCTCAGGTACTCCTGCAATTTAGGTACATCCTGCCTCCGAAAGATATCCCACAGAGCACCTTCCGAACCATCCCCTGCAAAGGATGAATCACTTTCAGGCACCGATTTTACTTCGTCAACATTAGTTTCTCCATCGCGGTCACTAAGCAGCTCCCTCTTGTCTTGCTCAAAGTGCTGTAGTTTCAACTTGTCAATGGCACTAAGATGCTCGGGATCCAATTTGAGTTCAGCAATATGAGTCAACACATTTACCTAGAACAGTCAAGTTATACAAAAGGGAAAAAATACTTTAATTTCACAACCAAGAACGTATAGCAATAAACACAAAACACTGACAAATACATTTGATGAGGAAAAGTTAATAGCATATATATATCTGATCCAAATGCACCGCTTATCTGAAATTCTTCCAAATACAAAAGTTTACTGATTCATGATGTGAATTGAAACAACAATCTTCTTACACCACTCATAAGAATCCAAACAGATAAATTAAATGGATTATGAAATACAACAATGAATACATCCTAAGAACTATGCACTTTGAAACGTAAGACACAATCGGAAAAAAACACCCTTAAATCTTCAAATAATTTAGAATAAATCCTTGAAAATAGCAGATCTGGAAGGAGAAAAGGAAATAGAACATACTGCATCGGACATGTCACAGTGGAGCTTAGTCACTGAGTCCCCGCGTCCAAGCTCCTGGGGAAATCCATAAGCAATGTATGTCTTTGGCCCCATGTCTGGCTTTAGACACTCTTTAGGCAATTTAACAGCTATGTTAAGACAACCACCAAGAGGATCAGTATATTCCTTGAATGGTAAGGAAGATATGAACTCAGCACAATGTCTAGGCAAGCGTTCCTCAAATAAATTAGAAGGCGGCCAGTCTTTTAACTTCAATATCCGAGGCCAATGAAGCCAATCCCCAAAAGCTTTCGTATACCCAGTAAAGAATTGGTGGATGTTAATTTCTACCTGGATTTAACCAACAACTCATAAAAATGCAGAAATCGACAGCAACAGAATATAACAAATGTCCAGTAGAAGCAGTCAAGAATGCAGAATCGGTAAAATAAAGCAGAAGCCACTTACTTGAGTCTGATTACAAAATTTGAAAAGAATAAGAAAATTAAAATAAACATTACACAGCATAAACAAGATCTCGTGGCAGGGGTTAAAAGCAGACAATGATAATAACAAAACATGGTGCATAGGCAACAGGAAAGGGTCTGTTAGGATATATTAGTCACATGCTTTTAATATATAAAGCAAGCAACAAGTATTAAAAGCATCTGACTAATATATTAACTACACTCACAAAAATGAACTTTTAATTACCACCCTAATGTGTGTTCTAATGACCCACATTCGACCTTGGACTGGCGTCTCTTTATGACCCGGACAACAGAACATCAATAATTCGTTCCTTTAGTGGAACTATCCACAAAAATATCGTAATTTTTAGGTACGTTGCAAAATATTTTTTGAACATTCGGCTCAGACAAGTTCTTGGAAGTCAGCAATTGACAATATTAAATGCACAGAAATAAGACAAAATCAAGAAAAGGGTGAAGTTACCAAATTCAAGAAATTCAACGTAAATTTGCCATAAAAAATAGTCTCTATCAACCCTTTGAAGCCTAGTGGTTCCAGGTAAAATAAGTACCAATATTAAATAATTTAAACATAAACTTCATGGGAGTGAATAACAATTTTTGAGAAAGAATCACTCCGGTGAACAAAAGTTAAACAAACCTCGCAGAAATCTAAGCAATCAATTGCCTTTACATCTAAATGTTGCTCATGTTTGGTATTATTCATCTGACGGAATGCACGCCACATGACAAGTGGTTCCCAGCTTAAACCAGATGTACAATCAATCACATGGCTAACAATGACAGGCTCGCCCTTTTCCCAATGCCACTGAAAATGCCCTAAATCCTCATCCTGTAGTTGTACAGAGTTAGGACAGTACAAATAATTGTCACCAGAATCTGCACGGGATGCAGCCTTCCTCATACCATAATTTGCGCTAGTATCAGGCCTTGAACACAAACACAATTTGTCAGGGGTCTCATGCTTCAATGTTTGTGCCAGTCCATTTGCTTTACACAATAAATTAGTAATAAAATTTTGACCTAACACACTTTTAAGTTCAAGAAAACCATGGTTACATTCTTTTGGACAAGGAATGCTACCATTACTTTCTGCATGCCATACAGCTCTAGACCAGTCGCGAATTAGAGGCTTAGCAGCATCATTTGGTTCAGTTAGGTTTACCGTTTTATCTACAATTTTTCCATGCAAGTAATCACGACCTCTGAACGGAAACTCCAACGTAATTGGATCTGCACCCCCCACAAGCTGACCACTACGAAGTTCACGGCAACACATGAGACAAAGATCAAAAGAGCATTCTGTACAGCTTCTGTGGTAATCAAATATTGATGTTTTGCAATTGTCACTGCAAGAGAGTGTTAAGTTAATAAATAAAATATACCAGGATAATTGGAAAAAAGAAAATAAGATGTGAGAGAAAGATACCAACCAATATACACGTTCATCCTTAAAATAATCTGCGTGTACTACTTCAAGCTCTGAGACTGAGATTCCTATAGTGCACATCCAAACAGCAAATTATATAATGCAAATATATGGAACTTGTACTAAACTCTGACTAGAGCATAAGATGAAAGGCAAACTTAAAGTTTGTCAATTATTACAAAACAGATAATTCTCTCGTTTGCAAGTCAGAATTCATTGCAAAGAGATGTGTGGTTTCATGATATACAAAAAATTGGTTTAGTTGTGAGTATCATAATGTGTTGGATGGAACAAGCATGCAAGAACAAATCGTGTCTTCTTCTGCATCAAATTCATTGTTTGGTGAGAAACATTGATTCACATAATAGTAACCAAAATCAACACTTGTAATGGAAAAATACCATGTATCTTAGCTTCTATCTCATTCTCAAACATTTGCTCTTCATCCAACAATCTTAAATACGGAAGAAGTACTTGCAGCAAACACATGGAGACCTCAACCTTCTCATCTTTAACGGAACTTGTTTTTGCCTTCATTTTCTACAGCAACCGAAATGACACCATTTTAAATGCTGAACTCAGAAAATTACAAGACACTTACTTGAAGGGGGAGGACCTAACTTTAATAAATGCATCGGATCGCAAGCATGCTTTGCAGTTGCAATTACCACGGCACACGGGACATGCCTCTTCAATGTAATCCTCTTTCAAATGAGGATACCTAAAGACACAGAAAACACCTCAAGGATTAACAGTAGGTCATGTTATCATCATTCAAAACCAAAACTACCAAATATTTGCAATAACTGATCCAGGAATTGATCTGGGAATTGTTTCTATCCACTAAAGACATTTCTTCCTAACATAGGAAAGGGGAGCATATTAGACATATATTGTGTAACTTCTAGAAATTCCCCATAGAAAGTATTAAACATATGGGTAAACAATTGGACATGTCATTTATACATCGGCTTGTCATTTCTAGTCTTTCAAATATTCTGCTTAAAATCTTACAGCACAAAGAATATGTCAGTAACACCGACTTAGTAGCTGGCAATGCAGTGATGGCGCAGAAATAAACAATGTATTGATCTTACCGAACCAACCAAGGCATGCTATACAATATCATGACATTACAATTTAAATAGAGAGATTAAATAAATTTCAAGGTGAGACGTAGTTATACCAATTTTCAATACAGGGTATGCAAAATCTTTTGGTTTTGCATTCTGTGCATCTCACAACCCTGCCTTTATCATTTCTCTGGCATTGATGGCACATATTGGATTGATTTTCCTTAGACTGTTGATTGACAAACAGAAATACCCTCTCAAATGTGAGCTAAAACATGTTTGTATGAAAAGCTAAACCCAACCAAACATAAATACTTTTTATTAAATAATAAATCACTTCACCTCCTTATCCCCCTTTTTCTTTTTCGGCATCACAGCTTCTATTTTGACTTTACGGTTTCTAAAATTGTGTTTTTTCTGAATGTCACTTCCACTTCCCGAAAACCCGTCAGGCCCTTCAAACTTACCGCCACCTTCCTTAACAACTTTTCTTTTCCTCCTAGGTCTCTTCTCATGAAGGTCGCCATTACTCCCATCTGTCACGCCTTCTTGAAGAGAACCACCTACCCCATCCCTTTCACCGTGGCTAACATCTCGATCACCCTTCGTCTCCAACAAATTGCCCTCTGAATTCTTCCTGTCCATGTCTACCGTTTCCTTTTGCACATCTTTAAAAGAAGAATATATTACCCTGTTATTTTCACCATTTTTCTCCAACAAATTTTCCTCCAACAACTTCCTTTCCATCTCCTCCTTTTCCTCTTTACTCTTTCTGCCACGCTTTTTTTTCACACCTTGAACAGAGGTAGAGACTCCAACCCCACCATTTTCACCATGGTTTTCGTCTTGAGCGCTGTTCTTCTCGGACAAACTGCCCTCTGACATCGTTGCCTTGCCCTCCTTTTCACTTCTTCTGCCACGTTTTTTTTTCACACCTTCGGCAATAGTAGAATACCCTACTTCCCCATCATCAACTGTTTCGGTAAAGTTGATTGCTTTCCTCTGATCAGCCTCACACTCGGCATTAAAATCCAAAGATTGAATATTTTGCTTGGTCGGGTTTGAGTCTCCCGGAATGGTGGCTGTATTTCCTCGTCGCCTTTTCTTTTTGCCCGCCATAAAGTAGAGAATATCAAATTTTCAGTGTATTGGCAAAATATAAATAACCAAGATTGAGAATCACTAACGAAAAGTGATAAAGATTGAATAAAAACCAGTTTGAACCCTAACTATCTACCCTTGACTGTCTGCATTCTATTTCAGTTCTGTTACAAGCCCCAAAGGACCAGTACCTAGATTATTATGTTTTTACATGGAAAGGATAAATAAAATAGACAAAGGGACAGGAAGAATTTTCAAAACCCGCGCCAAAATCAAAGCTTTAGAAAATGCTCTCCAAATTTAATCAAGTAATTAGTTAGAAAATTAAAATCTCAATGGATGCGCATTTATTGTAATAGTTTGTGGAAAGTGGGAAACAGCTGAACACTTTGATGGGTTCAAGAAAAGTACCGAAAGGGCAAAAGAAGTGCGAAAATCGATGCTTCTGTGGGAGACGTCTCTTCACGCTGAGCAAAACTGGAGTCGGTATTTCAAACAATTGAGTGTGCGAGGAAGGTGTCAATCTTCGAAACTGTGGGCTTCAACCAATGGGTTGCTACATTTCAAAGATCTTGTTGGATCACAAGTCAGCTAGTTTTTTCATGAGAACTTTTTTAAATAACCTATCGATCAATTACACACCAAATATTGATAATAACTGATTAATTAAAATATTGAAAAAACTGTTTTAAATTATTTTAATTTTTTAAAACAATTTATTTTAAATGCTTTAGTATTTAAATTTTGTATTTTATATGCTATAGTAGTGTTAAATATTTTATTATTCTTCAATGAAATGCAAATAATTTAATATTTATGATTTATGTATTCTTTTTCTAAGAAGTATAGATATCTTTATGTTATTGGGTTTTAATTTTTCATCCCAAATATAAATATGTTAATGTTTAGTTATTTTATTTATCTGGATTTTTAATTTAAAGAATATAAATCAAAAATAAAATTTTAAATTAATTTAAATTTTATTAAATTTTAATTTTCACCCAAACAAAAAAATATAAATTTATATTTTACTAACTTTTTGAAAGAAAAATATATTTTAAGATTAAAATAGTTTAATGATGTAAGAATTTTTTTAAAAAAATATAATACCTCAAATTTTGACATTCTTATAAAATTCGTATTTTTAACTTATTACCTTACCCCGGCCTTGGTCCTTTATTTTTTAATTTATTTATTTAGGAATATGTGTTTAAGAATAATGGAGGATCTGAGGAAAGTTTGTGTGATGGAATCGAAGGAAGAAACTTCCGTCGCCGGGGAGGCGAGCCTAGATGGGCTGCCGTCGGCTCTGGTGGCGACCGTCATGACGAAGCTGGACATCGCCTCCATCTGCTCCCTCGCCTCCACCTCCTCCGCCTTCCGCTCCTGCGCCCGTCACATCCTCTCTTTCCTCCCCTCCTTCAACCTCCTCGTACCATTCTCTCTCCTAACCTTCTTCTTTCTTATTTTTTCCCAATTTCCCAATCTCATTATCCTCTTTCTTCCAGGACACTGCTCCCTCCGGCGACATGCTCAGACCCTTGCTGCCGCCCAATCCCTACCTCACCACTCTCAAGCTCGATTGTTCCCGCCTCGATGACTCCGCCATCGCCTTCCTCCTCAAACCCTCCCTCCAAGACCTCTCTCTCCACAATTGCGCCGATTTTAGTGGCAGACTCTTGTCTGAGATCGGCAATCGCTGCAAGGATCTAAGGTTTCCTCTCTCATCTCCCACATCGCTCGCTTTATACTCTTCACTCATCGTTTTTCCCCTTCAGGTCTCTTTACCTTGGCTCCGTCGCCGAGAAAAGAGGGAGGGCCATTCATATTTCCGATCTGGAGGAGTTGCTCAGCGGTTGCTCCCACTTGGAAGTAAGGCATGCCATTTAAAGTTGAAACTTTTAATCTCAACATTTGATGAAATTATGATATGATATAACTCACATGCAGTTCCTTGGATGTTGTCTGATACAAGCTTTTATTACATGATTACCGACCACAATTTATGCTGCAATTATCTCTGGATTAGGGAAACTTGTCCACTGTATTGAATAATAATCTATTGCGGCATCTCTCATTTACTAATGTGCCTTAAAATCGTTTGAAACTCAATCTTTGTAGTAGTCAATATTGCTGCTTGCTCGTTAATTGTTGATTTAATTGGGTCTAAGATGTAGTGTGATTGTTTTGGTAGGCACTGATTCTGATGTTTGATGTCTCTCTCTTTCTACGGCACAACTTTGCTCGAGTTTGGGCTTCTGCATCAGAGAAACTCACTTCTCTTGAGATTGGCTACATTTCTTCAGTTACCGTCACTGAACTGCTCAGCCCAAATTTGGGATCCCATCTGCCCTCAAATCCTGTTCAACCGGCTATACTTCCAAGCATTCAGAAACTGTGTCTTAATGTAGACTATATAACTGATGCTATGATTGGCACAATATCCAAAGGTCTAATGTTTTTGACGCATTTGGATCTTCAAGATGCACCATTGATTGAACCAAGAGTTACGTTTGACCTGACCAACGCTGGTCTTCAACAAATTAATCAACTTGGGAGATTGAAACATCTTTCACTGGTTCGAAGCCAGGAGTTTCTCATTACCTACTTTCGAAGAGTGAATGATCTGGGATTGCTTCTAATGGCAGACAAGTGTGCAAACATGGAAAGCATATGCCTTGGTGGCTTTTGTCGCGTCACAGACACTGGTTTCAAAACCATCCTGCATTCTTGCACTCGCTTGTACAAGCTTAAGGTCACTCATGGGACTCATTTAACTGATTTAGTTTTTCATGATATTTCCGCAACATCCCTTACTTTGACACATGTTAGCTTAAGACGGTGCAATCTGTTAACTAACCATGCTGTTTTGAGTTTGGCATCAAACAAGGAACTCAAAATTCTTGACCTGAGGGATTGCAGAAGCCTTGGGGACGAAGCTCTCCTGGCCATTGGCACTCTGCCTAGACTGAAAATTTTACTATTAGATGGCTCTGATATAACTGATGCAGGACTTTTGTACTTAAGAGCATCTGTTATTAGTTCACTGTATGCATTGTCTCTTCGTGGCTGCAAGAGACTAACAGATAAATGTATCACAGCTCTATTTAATGGCTGCTGCGTGCTGGAATTGCGAGAACTGGATCTATCTAACCTTCCTAACCTCTCGGATAATGGAGTTCTGCTGCTTGCAAAAAGTAGGATTCCCTTCTTTGAGCTCCGTATGCGACAATGCCCTCTGGTTGGTGATACTGCAGTCATGGCATTAGCTTCAATGCTAATTGACGAGGCCAAACATGGAAGCAGTTTGCGATTGCTGGATTTTTATAACTGTGGTGGCATTACAGCGCTTGCATTTCGCTGGTTGAAGAAACCATATTTTCCAAGGCTCAAATGGTTGGGAGTGACAGGGAATGTTAACAGAGACATGGTAGATGCCTTAGCCAGAAGCAGACCTTTCTTACATGTGGCATGCCATGGTGAGGAGCTTGGGGCTGATCCCTACGATACTTCAGATGGGTTATACACACATGATTATGATGACGTGGATGAGTTTGAGCAATGGCTTCTTGAAGCTGATATTGACAGTGACTTTGAAGAGATGGGCGATGCTGAAAATAATGATGAAATGGTTGCGTGACTTGCTTTTATACCGTTGTCGTGTATCTTTATGTGATGACTCTGTATGTATATCTGTTTGTTGTAACTTTGTTCTCTGGCTAGATGTTATTTGTCACAGGTTTTAGTACAAAAGACTTCTGTATGATCCTTTTGATGTAACTCCGTATGGATAATGTTGTGTAAAATGTCTCTAGATTTTTAATCTTTCAATCCTTCTAGTTTGCCTATAATTTTGTGGTATTACTCGTGATTGTTGAGTTTTTTCTTTAGATTTAGTAGTTCATATATTAACATTGAGCGGAATTAAACACAAATTTATCATAATATATATTTGTTTTTTAGATTGAATTGTTATCCGATAACTTATCTACATAATAAGGAAGTGGAAGAAAAATAAACAAACTAGATAATATGATAAAAATAAGAAGTCTTGGAACTGGAACGCTTCCATACTTAATCTAGATATTGTATTATTTATTTATTTACTATTATTATTATTATTATTATTATTATTATTATTATTATTATTATTATTATTTCAAGCAATATGATTAGTTACCGTTTTATTATTTGAAAAAAGAAAAAGCATTCCTTATATAATACTATTGTATAATTACTTAGTATCACTCAATTATTCTATATAAGGCTTTTTTTCTGCACCTCCTTTATTATTAACTGCACCCCATGTTGAAAGACGTATTAGGAAAAAGGCTAAAATACCTCCTTTCACTACACCGCTCTTCCGCTGCCATCTTCATCTCATCACCATTGTTAAATTCTCATTGCAGTTCCGTTCTCCACTGCAAAAAGAAGACCAGTTTTAAAAAAAAAATCATTTTGAAAAACTTGTTTTAAAAGATGTTTCAGAAAGCCTGTTCAAGAAAATATATTCCGAAATATATTGAGTTTTAGGAAGCTTGTTCTGGAAATAATATTTCAAAAATCATATTCTAGAAATATGTTCCAAAAGTTTGAGAAAGTTTGTTCCAGAAGTTATACGGAAAAGACAATATGGAAGTTACTTCTACAAAAAAAAAAATGAAATGCAATTAGAAATTATGGTGGTCCAGGAAGAAAGCCCGTAAATAATCCCTACCACTTATTACAGGCCTAATATATTTTTAAAAGCAATCCAGCCCAAATCCATCAGTGGTTCTATATGATAGACTTAATTAAATTTGAGTAACCGACGACTTTTCGTATTTTTAATTTAGTGTATTTTTTTTTTTAATGTTTGATTCTTTTAAGGTGCCTTCTAATTTGGTTTTTGGTTAATGATAATATGTGATCATTATTTTTGTTTTCACGTTTTCAATTTGTTAAGTAATTCGTTTTTTTTTTCTCTTCAGTCTTTTCAAACTCAGCTAAAAATCTAGTTAATGTAAGTAAAAGAAGATTAGTGAAAAAAAATGAATGAATCAATAAATTAAAAACAAAAAGATAAAAATATCAATTATGTTTTCTAGGTCCTGTAATTTCTCCAGTTTGCTTTCAACTTTTATTTGAGTTTTGGAAATCACGGATTTAAACTAGTCTTCCGTCACCATTCACCAAAAAATGTTACGAGTGTCTCTGTTATGTTTCTTTCTTTTCCAACGACAAACAACCTACCAAAAAGTTCTTCAATAATGTGTCTGTGAGTCACCGTTGACAAATGTTATCAACCCAATACTAATCCACTTTAGTCTAACTCTTCAATGCCTGGATAATACCAATTATTGATATTAACACAAGTCTAATTTCTAGGGTCAATTTCTTTCACATAATAACACATGAAACACAAGGGTTATAGGGAATGCAAACATGCTACGGCTATCATTTTTGAAATCTTATTTAGGACAACATTGACCAACATGTCTTTTTCTTGGTCTGAGGTTGAAAATCAAACATTCATCAACTTCTATGGTTCATTTCAAAATATTTCTTTTTCATCTCAAAAATGTAATTTTTTTATTTTACAAAACAATATTTTATAATTAAATATGATTTAAATTTTTTCTCAACAAATATGCAAAAATAGAAATGGAAATTCTGGTTGTCAAGTAAAACATGTTAGAATTACTAGGTTTAAATATTAGTCTCACTTTAAATATAAAAATGAAAAATTAGAACATTATACAAAGTTTAATATCCACCGATTAATTTTTTTAAAGTTTTAGATAAAAAATGTGTCAATTCTTTATTTAATAAGACTCTAATATCATATAATATATCTTCAATAAACTTCTTCTTTTAGACTCAACATATGTATTACAATAATAAAAATAACACTTTTAATATGTCAAAAATTACAATTAAAAGAAAAACCTTGCTGCAAAGATAATTCTTTTGACATTTCAATGAATTATTAAATATTCTCAATCTTAAATAATTAAATTGTTGTTGTTATTTTGAAGTAAGGGTAGTATTGTTTCAAGGAATATCCAGCAAGTTGATTACTAGCTATATTCTAATATAAGGTCAATAAGGGTTAAGTTTGTACAAACTCATTAATTAAGTAATAAAATAATTTATAGATGAAGTGAGTTAGATTTCTTAATTTTTTGTATTGGTCTAATACCTAATTCATTTTTTATCCTATTAAGCCAAAGTTCCACATTAAAAAAACACTTCTTCTTTTTAATTTGTAACTTTTAAACTTTTTTGTTACGTTATTTGAATTTTTCTTTCAAAGTAGATTATATAACTGTGGTATTTAAAAAAAAAACAAAATACAGATTTAGTATTTAAACATTAGTAAATTAAAATAATAAATAATCAAGTTGTCAAATAAAATAAAATTTATTGGGTTAAGCTAGAGTGAAATTCAATATAGATAACCTGCAAAAAAGTTGTAGGAAATTTGGATAATTAAAGTTTGGTTAAATTTGACCAATCATAAAAAAATCCATGGACTAATTTATGTCATGTTTCATCAAATTAATTGCACTGTTAAACCCAACCAATATTAGATTAATTATCCTTGTAAATAATTTCAGAGTTTTTAAAATTTAATTAGTGTTAGTGCCTGGTAACCTTCTTTTACACTCTTCATTGTTTTTTTTGTTTGGTTTGGAAATCATTCCAGCTATTTTTTTGAGTTTTAAAATTTAGAAGATAAAAAATATTTTATTTGTTGACTTATAACAACTTATTGATACAATCAGAAAATATCCTAAGTAGGGCTAACACGTGTATTGTATGACCTTTTATTTATTTTCTACCAGTCAAAATATAAAAACTCTGTGTTGGTTTTCTATTACAATTTTTTGTAATTTTTTGTAAATAAATAAATATTTTTAATTTTTTATTTGTATCATACGAAATAAGATAATTAACTATACTATTAGTTATAATTCAAGTTATTTAATAATTTAAAAAGCATAAAAAATTATAAATATTTAGAGTTCAATTGTACGTAAAATTTGATCATTTACTTTTTCTTTTAATTATTTTTAAATGGGTAACCGGCTCGATTCGACCTGATCCACCACGAGTTGGTTATTCAGTGAGTCAACCGGTTCACTTATTAGCAAGCTGAAAAAATTCGAACTACGAATTGTTGGATTAAACGGGTTGACTCACTACTCATTTAATTATAAGTATTTTTTAAAATAAAAAAGTTACAATTTTTTAATTCAAATCTAAATAAATTTCATACTAAAACGAGACAATTCAAAATAAATAAATAAAAGTATCATACAATCTAAGCGTAATCAAAAAACATGTACAAAACAAATAAGTTTTTAATATTGATAATTTTTGTATCATTTGTTCATTTATAATATTAGAGTCTTAAATAGATAAATCTATAATATTGATACATCTTCTTCTTTATCATCCTGTACAATATAAAAAATGTTAATTAATAATATTAAAATACAAAATAATAAATAATTAAATTAATTGGGTTGGTACGCCAATCCGGCCCACCACGGGTTCAACCCGGTGAGCCGGATTGAAAACTAACCCGCATAAAAAAATTACATTTTTTCAAACCCAATCTTGCTCAAATCCGTCATGATCCGGATTTTATTATCTGTGCTTTTTTTCACTATTTTTATACTTTTGGTTTTCAACAAATTTTGTTTCATGACTTAAAGAATATTATTAAAGATAAAATACTAAAATTTATGTTATACTTTATATTATTACCATATGTAAATGATGTCAACTGGTAAAGAAAAAAATAAATAAAGCCTTGGTGTATTTATTAAATTCTTAAAATACTACAGTTTCTTGATACAAAACCGAACTTAATCAACCATCTTCCTGTTATCTTGTAGTTATTAAGTTATGATTCATCTTTCTTAATAATCTAAAATAGTGTTTAAGAATGAAACAGACAAAACGTTTCCTTTAGGCCTCTGAAAAACAATATTACTAATATTACTCTATCAAATTAATTATTATAGAATTATGTTTATGAAAAAAAAAAGCTTTAAACGTTTTTCGACACTAATATACTCTTATTAAATTAATTATAAAATTATGTTTAATATAAGAAGGTCTAAAATATTTTTTTACCAACGTACTTCTATTAAATTAGTTATAACTTTATGTGTGATAATAAAATTTAATTAAATTATTATAGGGTAATAATATATTAGTATTAAAAGTGATGTTTATAAAGTTAAAATATTTTTTCAATAAATTATAATCTTGTTTTGTAAAATTACAACCATTGATTGTCTTTATTCTTTTAAATCAATTTTTTTCTTTTATCTATATGTGACTTCTCATATATTAATATCATTTTTTTGACTCTCATATTATTATAATTTTTTTTACTCTCTTACTTTCTTTTATTACAAAGCTTTTTTTTTAGGATTTTGTCAGATTCTATTCATTAAATTTATTAAATTTTATGTTAGTTGTGTGTATTAATTTTTTTTATCTCATTTCTTATTAATATGTTTTTTTATATGTGTTGTTTTTTTAATTCTATTTATTGAATTTGTATTAGGATTAAAAATGCGTTTTTTATTATTTTTTAATTTATAGATTTTTAAAGTTTTCCTTACATATATATTTTGATGAAGAACTATGACTTTTGTTTGGATTGAATTGAAAAACTATCTAATTGTATAAAAGGAAATTAAAATAAAAATAAAAAATTCATTATTTGAATTTCATAAACCTTTGAATTGTCCTTATAAAAAGCAATAAAAAATGCTATAAATAAGTAAACACAGAAAATAAATAAGATGATTTTTCTCTTTA